CCCTGTGTAAAGCTGTCAATAACTCGTTCATTCACCTCACATAGTTCGATGGCCATATTCGCTAATCCACACGCTGTCAGCTCTGGCTCTGCTAGGCTGATAGACCCAGGAAGATTTTCCTCAGAAAGAATGTCGTCTTGCAAGTTCTTCCTTCCATAGTATGGTCCAGTTTCTCCAGGTGCCGATATCTACAACTGGAAGGAAAGTTGATTTTTGTACCCAGTAAAGATATGTAATCAAGCCAGGTTTATTTTTGCCAGCTTTTCTAATTAAGATAATGTCTTAATTGCACCACAGCAGGGCTCCCTGATAAGCTAAGCTCACCGTGCTGCCACATGGAAAGCTAGTTATAAGCTGATGGAATAATTCAGCAGGGTTCAAAGTCGTGACTCAGCAGGGGGCCTAACTGGATTCTGCCCTGTGTTTCTCACAAGATAGTGCAAGGGTGGAAATCTCTCAAAGTCTTATTTTCGGGGTTCATTCTTGAGAACTACAGGGCTGTGTTTTTAACAAGGACACGTTGTACTTCGGTGACATGCACAGAAAACCTCCTAACATGGGATTCAACCAGCCCCTAAACCTATGTGTATGGAACACTGTATTCCTCAAGGACTATCTCCCATTTCCCTTCCAGACAAGTAGTCTTATAGCCCTCCTCATCAGCATTTGGGAGAACCTGATCTTGAGTTATTCCTCCAGAGCACCAGTATTTCTGGTCAAACTTGACTTCAAAATTAATGGAGGCACCCTAGTTTTAGGCTGGCTGATACTACGGAAAAGAAGTTTTTGTGGTTAAGGCTCTCAGTGGGGAGTCATGAGTAGAAGTGAAACTATCCCAAATCCTACATAGCCATCTGGAGCCACTGGGGTTTTTTTGATTAATGTAGAAGACCCCCAAGGCAATTACTATAACGTACACTGGACAAAAAAGAATGGAAAATATAGTTACAGGTTTCCCTCGCTTTATGTTGTACATGCGTTCCTGGAAAACGGCACATAACTCGAATTTGCCTAAAGGGAACCCATGTTACAATGTAACAAATAGGGATATGTTCCAAGGCCTTGACTGTATTGACCCCCAGACCCATTTCTACCACTTTTACAAGAAAATTTCAGTAGTCACCAACAACAGACAGTACACACAAGCACAGGGCACTATCATAGCAGGGCTGGCAACTACAGAAACACGTGTCACCGACAACGAGTGAGGAGTACAGATCCACACAGGAGACTATATTTTGGTGTGCATTCTCACAATGCACCGCACAAAGCAGCTGACTGCGGGCTTCCACCACACCGATCGCATAAGAGTGAATTACTTGCATAAAACAAATTTTTGGTATAGAAAGGGTCATTGCATAATAGCAAATTTGCACATACAGAACCTGCATAAAGCGAGGGAAACTTGTATTGGGAAGTTCTTAAACTTGGTGTATATAACTCACTATTTGGTTAAGACACAGGTTGGCTTTTGGAGATACTTGATTGTGTGTGTGTGGGTGTGTGTGTGTGTGGGTGCGTGGTGGAGGGAGGTACATGGCAAATACCTCACGTCTGGTTTGTCATAACACATAACAGTTTTTAAAATCAGAATTAGTCCCAAACCAGCTCACAGGAACAAAGACGACAGCAGTCCTTAGGAAAGCCCTGATGTTGGCTCTAACCTGGCCGTCCCCAGGTTAAGGGAGGCATGTCGTTTCCTCTTCTAGTCCATGCACCAACCTGCCTATCAGCACAAGGACCCATTCTGCTGTAAGGCTTTAGAACAATTTCCACCTAGTCTTGGAGACCAGATTTCAGAAACAAGAACTACTGAGATCTGTAAAAGCTTGGATGATTCACACTTTCCTAATAGGAGCAGTTTGCAATGAAAGGGAACTCTGCAGTTGTTTGAATGTAACCCAGCACTGTGGCCATGGGGCTACACTACATTATTCTGAATAATGATTCAGCTGTAAATTTTCCAAAACATCCTCTGGTTTTCAGTGCCCCCTTTGAGACGTGAGGACCTGAAGTACTGAGGTGTATCCAGAATACTTCCTGAAATAAAATAAAAAATTGCCATGTAGTTTTAGCAAGCCACATGCTTAAGAATATGAGGAAGCTCTGTTGCTAACTTCTAGTCAAAAATTGCAAAAGACAATTGCTTTGCAAGCCTCACTTTTGGATGGATGTACATTAGTTTAACAAGACAGGGGCACAGAATATTTGCTTTAAGAGTGGTTGTCACATTAGTCTTTGAGTCAATCAGTTGCTATACAACAAGAATTAATGAGTCTTTGGCTACATGTGAAAAACTCACAGTTCCTTCAAATCCAACAGCTCAGAACAGATCTTTTATTCACATTTGTAGAGCAAGTGTCTCAGTGCTTCACAAAAGGCAAACAGAAACAAGTGAGTGGATTTAGGCACATCCAAAATCTCTGTATCGGCAGTACTCTGTTATGAGTAGGACTTTCCTGCTATTAGCAGAGTGCCCTATGATGCTTGAATATCTGCTAGGGATCAATTTCACACCCCCGCACACATGCACAAGATTATTACAGCTGCAGGTAGCCCACCTGAGACATGAAGAAAAGTTCAGTTAAGCCTTTTCATGGCTCCATGTTGCAATATACAGTCTCAGCTCCATCAATCATATGCACCACAATGATCTCTTGCACATCAGAAACACATGACTGTTTGAACTACTGTTACCCCCCCCAGTGTCCCAGACACACAAAGTCCTATGTATAAGAAGCAATAGACTACTTCATAAATGCATTTCTTCTCTCTTGTTACTGCGTGAAAGAGTCACAAGAGAAACTGCCAGGCTGTACACGAGACAATACAATGCATAAAGTCAAGTGAATACAAAAAGGGAAATAATCATTTTTCTGTTCTTTTTCAGTCACAGGTCTTTGAGGAGTTAGTCATAGCAACAGTAGATTAAAAAAAAAATCACGCACTTGTAGAAACTACCAGCTAGCTACTCATCTAAAGAACGTGCTTTATTTTTTTAGGCAGTTCCTCACATCACTGTTCTTTTTTGTCTCTGATTCAAGTTCCACTGAAGCCAAAGAAAAGACTTCCAGTAATTGCCTGGGGCTTTGGAGCAAGTCCACTCAGTGCCGCCGGGGTTGACATTAACCTAAGCATTTCCATCGGGATGTTTCTGTAGCCAGATTCCCAGGGATCAAAAGATGCGGTATAATCCACATATCACAAATAGAACAGGATGTAGCATTAATAGGAAGTGCATGTTCCCATGTGAGTCAGATCCATTTAATACAGCTCAGGCTCTTCCCTCAAAACCCAGCTCTTAGAAACAAGCTGTTTCAGGATGGGCAGAATTATCAAGTCTAGGTGGAAGGCCTGTCCCTCCAGCTGTTGCAAGGCCAGAAAGGTCACAGGGCTGAAGAGGCACAATTTCAGTGCTGGGTGTAGTGAGGAACCCATCAGTGTATGACTGGGCTGAGAAACCCCTCGTCCTTCTGGGCCGGGTTGAGCAGGCAGCAGCATTAGGGCTGTGCAATCCCCAAGATGGACTGCATTCTGGTTCTGCATTGTGTGATTGATCCATGAGGAGTAGGGGCCCCACTTTCAGTCTTTGCACAAGCAAAGCCCATCACTGCTACTGCTGGGCAAGGTGGCTGACTCGGAAGGAAAGCTGCAGTTTGGAGTGAAGCTCAGGAAGTAGCTGCCTGTGGTCTGTGGCATGTGCAGGTGCCTTGGTTCGAAAGCCTTGGAGTGTAAGTATCACTGTTTGCAAAGCAGGTCTTATTTTCAAGTGAAAGAGCCTTTCCATTATACTGTGGACCAGGGCCAGCAAACACTGTAGTTTCACCAAAGTGAAACCCATGTGAGAGGGGGATCAGCCCCTCAGCCTTTCGCCTGAGTCCTGCTGCACTTGCTGAGTCAGCTGCTTTGGGAAATCTGGAAGGCATACTTTATACGGAGGCATCCAAACCCTTATGGGTTTTAGCCCATCAAGGGTGCTGAGACAGCTTCTCAAAGGCCACCTCCAGCAGCCTGTAATCAGGGTGGCAGCTCTGCAGGCTTGGGAATGCCTGTCTCCGGGGCTGGTCCCCAAGCCCGTCATCCAGCCAGTGCTTTAATTTTAAAGACAGGGTGGTTTTTACTTTTAGCTCCCTGATACACTCTCTCTTAAACCTACAGGCAGCCATTCTAATATAAATGACAGAGGTTGGGATAACCTTTTTTCCAGGGAGTAAAGGGAGAAAATCCTTTCTGTGTCACTGGATTCATCTGGGTTTCTTCGGAGCAGACCAAACATCTCAAAGCGGAGTTTCAGTGGCACAGCTGAGATTTACCTGGCTGTGTGTTAAAACAAAAACACAGTGAACATCCCAGGACTATTACTGGTACCTCTATCACAACAGTGTCCAAAATAATGATAATTGTAACAATAATAATAAAATATTATTAAAAATAAGTCAAGACACTTAAAAGAATCTCAGTGGGTGGCTTGGTTCTTTCCCAGCTTTTATAATTCACCATGTTTCTAAATTCTTATTTTTCTCATTCTTTGCTCATTCTTGTTATTACCTCTCCTTTTACTGATGTGAAGTGCTTGACTTATAAGGCTCATTACAATGGATCCTTTACCCAGGTGGTTTTATCTCAGTTCCCCACATGTCCCACACGTCCATATGTCAACCTTATCTTTTCCACTCATGAGCAAAGTAATAGTGTAATGGCTGCTATGCAAGCTAGCTCGATTCAGGATGGGACATTTACACAATGGTCCTCATAATGCCCGTTGCCGTGATATAGCATCAGTACTTCCTGCATGTATCCTCAGACACAATAACATTTATTTATTAGACACACTCTATTCTGAAAGCTATTGCTGCCATTATGTGGCAAACGGCAGAGAGGGAAGAGAATTATTGATGGCATAATGGAATAACATCCCAGGCCACTGAAGAGAGGCAAAAAGAGTGGTGAAGTCGAGAACAGCCACAGTGCCATGCAGGGCTCCCATAGCTGAGGTAAGGATGTGGCTTCTCCTCGCTGTGCTCTACTCTTTCTTGCTCGGCTTGGCTGCAGAGGAGGTTGCTGTTGAAGAGGGGATACCTTGCTCCAAGTACCAGGTGGCTTTCAACCGCTCGTGCTATGAATTTGTGAGACTCCCACGCGCTTTCACCAATGCCCAGAGCTGGTGCGAGAGAGGAGGGGGGCATCTCGTCTTCATTGAAAATGAGGAAACCCAAGAGTTCCTGCAGAAACACATCTCCAAGGACAGGGAGTGGTGGATAGGACTGACTATGGACTCTACTCTGAATGAAACCTCAGAAGGTAGGTGACCTTGTGACAGAAATGGAGTTTTCCTTTCTTTTTTAAACTGTTATTGATTTTTTTAAAATACAGTGCAAAAATCAGAAAAACTTATATATCAACTAAATGTGTAAAACTGAACTATGTCATAAACAATAAGTAATAAAAGGGGCAAAAAGTGAGGAGGGCAGAAGGAGGGATAGAAGCAAAAAGAGAAGCATGCATGCAACGAGCAATGATCTAGCTATCAAAATCTTCCAAGTATTCCTTCCAAATTGCACCAAACTTTCTGAAGCAGTTAAGCCTGCCAAACATGACTCTCTTCATAGATGCCAGCTGTGCCATCTTATTGTACCAGATTTCATCTTCTAGAGAAGTCCTACTTTTCCAAAGCAACAATATAATCATGCATGTTACTAAGGCTGGCTGTTAGAGTGCCATTTAGGAAGGATTTGGTTTGGATTCCTTGGGGGTATACCCAAGAATGCACATATTTGCCAAAGGTATCAGTGCTGTGTTCAAAACCATGTAACTCTAGTTATAATTTCTTTCCAGAAGGAATTGATCGTAGCACGGAACCTAAACATGTGGCCAAGTGTTGCCTGCAATGCATCACATGGCCCTGCGGAAAAGCCTGTCTTTTGTTATACCATCCTCTGAACCTCTCTGTGGATTTATATTAATATAAATCCTTGCAACAGAGGCTGTCTCTTCCCATGTATTTGCACAGTGACTAGCAAAGTGGGACACTGATTTTAGTTGGTTCTAGGAAGTGCTACTGCAAAACAAATATAGGGACCAAATCCTAAAGACATTACTAAGGACACATTCAAGCTGATGTCCTGAAATGTACAGGAGTATTGTGTGTGTAACAGCAGAGAAACACAAAGGCTCTACTATAAGGCTCAGCATTGCTGAAGGATCACAGGCTTGCGTGCCAGTGGGCACATCTACACAAGGTGCTAAATGAGTACTAGACTAATTCTACTTATGGCAAAAGCCATGCTATTGTGCTAATGCACAGTAGAATTAGTCTACTGCACATTAGCGTCACCAAAAAGGCATGTGCCAGTGCTACTGCGCAGTAGTGCTGGTTACAGCGCATTGAGTTAGTACCTGTTATTACAGGTACTAAACTTAATGTGCAGTAACTATGGCATATTAATGCATGTGTAGATGTGCCCAGTCAGGAGCAATGGGCTAACTCCTGCTCTCCATAACTCCAGTGTAGAACCATTATCAATAATAGAGTTAGTCCAGGTTCTCTTTGAGGTAACTGGGATGAGATATGTCCTGTGAATATACAGGAAGAAGAGAGCAAAATAGAATAGTCTGATATGCTTGATCAAACTACATGATCAAATGATCCTTGCTAGATACGAGCTTTCTGATGGGTACAAACAAATATAGGTGATCCAATACTTAGCCATGACAAGGATATATATATTTCTTCCATGAATATCACCATGCAAGGGGCCTGGCTGAGCCTTTCATTGTGGCAGGCAGGAGACATTTTAAAAACAAATTGTCAAAGGAGACAACCTCAGTTCTTCAAGGGGCATGAGCTGAGCTCTCTCTTGGGTTATCAATAAACCCCACAGAAACAACAAGAGAACGTATCCATCACACTGTCTCTGGGGCAGGCAACGATACTCTTCTGCCAGGTCACATCAATAAGATGCTCTGCTATCTAGCGAGAAAACCAGAGACTAGAAGCAAGTGGTCTCCTGTGCTCCTGGGAATTTAACACTTGGCTTTGCTGCCGGCCAAGGGATATATTTTGGAGGGGGACACTGGATTTTTAGCAGCACATCCCTAGCACTGTGCTTATTATATTTTGAATCCAAGGACAATATTTCTGATATGGCTTGAACTGGTTTGGCTGTTCCTGGCCAAGCTGGCTCAGACAAGCTGCCTTTGGCTTCAGTGGGGGATTTGCCTGTGGAAAGACTGCAGCGTCAGACCTCCTTGCTCCCTACTGAAAAAAGCCATTTATGATCTGATTCACTTTGTTTGCAGGATCAATTATGTGGTTGGACACTTCAAATATAAGTTACAGCCACTGGCATCAGGACCAGCCATCTCTCTTCTCAGCCGCATGCGGGCACATCCTGAAGAACACTGGCTATGAATGGGGCGTCACTGAGAACTGCAGCCAGGAGTTTGACTTTGTCTGCGAGTTTGGTAAGAGGCACAGCAGTGGGTGCTGAGAACTGAGTGTGCTGCACTTGAGGTAATGAGTAAATCACCCAGACTGCTTAAAAAAATGTTATTCTAAGCTGAAGGCAGCTTTGCCTACACAAGCTACTCCCACACCTGTCTGACATAGGGCTGGATCCAGGGAAGAGGTGAGCGTGGGAGGAGTGGAGTGAGGGATGCTCAGCACCTTGCTCATTAGGGTTCCAGGTTGCTGGCAAAGGAAACAGTAGCTGTACCCTTTGGATCTTCAAGCATGTCTAAGTAGAGTGAAGTCTATGTCTAATGTAGGTGCCAGTAGCAGTACACATGTGGATTGCAGAAACCCTCCAAGAATCAGGGTGCAATCAGGGAGTCGTTAGGTCATACTCAGATCCATACTGCTGGGATAAACTGACACCAGTATCCATCAGTCAGGTCTGTATCTACAATCAAGATGGACCCTGAATCTCAAGCTGGGGCCAGACTAAGACAATTAAAGTTATTTCTACTTCTGCCCATAGCCAAGACTATATCCAGGCCTCCAGAAACTAAAGGCCAATTAGTTCACTCCCTGCACTGCTAGTGACCAGGTCACTTGGTTGCTGAACTCGGAGCAAAGGAGTAACTAGAACTCAGAGCAAGTTCCTCTTGTCTTCTGAAACTCTATAGCACCTGGGTAGCAAGGGAGGAAACTTCCTGTAACCTGCACTTCTTGTTTCCTCTCTGGCTAAACAAACAGGATCCCTCTAAATCAAGGCTTGAACAAACAGCTACAGCTGTGGATACGTGTGCAGACTATTCCATCTTGCCCAGAATACATACACAGGAGGCTCTTTGCTTCCCATAGTTTTCATGTCAGGGAGGCATTTTAAGCAGTAATTGGAATGAAGGTAACATGGTATGAAAACAGTCAGCCGGTAGGTTTGCTAAGGGAACAGTCTCTGAGTCCATTGCTCACGTACAAGCTGTTACAGGCCCCAGCCTTGCACCTACCCTGATCAAGTACAGAATTTTATCTGACGTAATTAATTTCTAACAGGCTTTTTCTTTGCAACCAGCCTGTCTGAAAATAAATCAGTGTTTAGTACCATGGGGCTTGATCCAAGGCCCGGTACAACCAAAACGGCTCTTTCCTGTGACATCATCACAATGAAGTTTGGATGAGGGCAACATCCGTGGGCAACATTTGATTTTGAAAATGGATTAATAGCAGTGATTTCCTTTATATCATCTCTTCATTAACCCAGATACTATTTCTAGGACAGATGTAATCAGTGATCACTGACCGGTTTGCAGTATCTGCAGCCCATATCCACTAATGCTTTTATATACTTCAGTAATAATGTTAGAGTAAGGAACTGGGAGCAAGGACTTGCAGCTCTGCATGCTTCATCTCAAATCTGCTGCCTACTGAGTTGATAGCTGTCTTTTCATAGGCTTCACTGGATGTTATTAGTCTGTTCAATCTGACTTGGTATTCAGATACTGTGTCAGTGAGTGCAGAGACAGAGGGCAGGCCCTACATGTGGAATTAATGTGATGCAATAAACTCCAGCACATATTGCACCAGAGTTTATTACTCTCATGTGCCGTGTTAACACATGTACCTGGGACTGCAGCACATTGAGCTGGGTTGGAGCAACCCTCGCTGGTAGGGGGCTCAGGGAGTCAGCCTGCCAGTCTGGGGCTGCTCCCACCTGGCTCAGTGTATGGTAGAGGGGCTGGCTGGGGCACAAGGGTGCTCCAGTGCAGAGCTAGCCTGCAGGCAGCCCTCCGCACTGAAGCACCCTCAGGCCCCAGCCACCCCTGTCAGCATCTACACAAGTTGCTGTGCAATAAAGAATGCTGCTGTAGGATAGTACTTGTGTTTACAAGTATTAGCCTATGATGGAGTTAATTAGTTTATTGAGGCCTAATCGGGCTGCACGTGTAGATCCTGAGACTTTACTGCAGAGCTGATTAGGCAGCTCCATGGTAAAAATCACATATGCACTCAGACAGAAGGACATATAAACATGCCTTCTGTCACCTTGTGATTCTTTTCCCTACAATTCTACCTGCTTCTCTGCATGCAGTAAGACCTTCACAAACTGTCTGGGTTTTAGTCTGGTACACTCTTGTTTACTATTTGCCATTAGATGCACTTCATAAGTAGTGCAAATGCACACTTAAGCAGGGTTTGATGTGCAGTATTATTCCATTAATTCCCTTTTTAAACATATACAGGCAAGTCCTATGCCTTCTGAAGAGAGGCTCATGACTTATGAGAAGAGGCTGAGGAACAGGACTTATTTATTTAGAGAGGGGATTTAATAGCAGCCTTCAACTCCCTGAAGGGTGGGTCCAAAGAGGATGGAGCTGGACTGTTCTCAGTGGTGGGAGATGACAGAACAAGGAGCAATGGGCTCAAGTTGCAGCAAGAAAGGTTTAGGTTAGATAGTAGGAAAAACTTTCTCACTAGGAGGGTTGTAAAGCACTAGAACAGGTTACCCAGCGAAGCTGTGAAATCTCTATTCTTGGAGGCTTTTAAGATCTGGGTAGACAAAGCCTTGGCTGGGATGATGTAGTTGGGGTTGGTTCTGTTGTGAGCAGAGGGTTGGACTAGATCGTTTTGTCTATACATGGCTGATGTGACCTCCTGAGGTCCCTTCCAGCCCTCATTTTCTATGATTATATGCAAAGGTGGCTGACAGAGCAGAAATGATAGCAACCTTCTTTGCAGGAAGTAAAGAAAAAAATTGTACTAGATAATAGCCCACATTATAATTTAACAGCAAATTATGTTACAAGGTTATTTAGACAGCTCTAATCCGTAACTTGATTGCGTTGCTATAGATACACCTAGGCTTAGATTTACCCATTAAATAATGATAGCACACAATTATCTAAGTATGCACACACTAGAATGGCTAATCAAGGCATTTAATGGGAACAATCACAATAACACCTTGAGACTGAATTATTTAAATCTGTGACAACTGAAGTAAGTTTCTGCTGTAACACCCTGAAATGACAGCAGGGTTTTCGTGCACCCTTCCCCTTCAGTTACGTGAAGGCACTGGGAAAGTCCTGGGATCTAATTAACTGTCCCAGATTAATCAAAGAACAATCATGCTTAGGGGGACAGTCTTCTTACCCAGCCAGTCCTGCTGAAGGAAATGGGATATCTCACCTGGATCAGGGCTGGGTAGGATCAAACCCTATATTCAGCATGCAGGCTTTTCTCCAACACAGCTTCCCAAACATCATGTAGATCACTCACCCCCTAGGGACTATTTCTGAAATTGTGAGTGACTTGAAACCCTTCAGTCTCCCTGGTTGAAAAGCTCTGGATGCATTGACGTGTGTGTTCTGGAACAAAATGATGTATTCAAGATTTGTATTCAATATTTTTCTGCAAATATTTTTTCTGTATTCAAGACATTTCTGCAACCATTTTTGTTGAGAGAAATGACAGCGATAAACATTTTGTTTTTGTGGTTTTTACCTAGGAGAAAAGAAAAAGGAAAATAAGAAAATTCTCAAAAAAACCAAAATTTGGACCAAAGTAAACTCAAACCAAAAGCTGTTTTTCATTCAAAAGTTTCAGCCAGTTTTGCCTGTCAGTCCTGCACATTTATGTCTCTTCAACTTCCACTTGATGGAGACCTTCACTAGGAACCTTTCACTTCCCTAATTCCTTCCAACCAGATTTTTGCTCTACCTATAGGCACCAGGAGAACAGCAGCAGATACTACAGATGATCAGAAAAAGACAATGTGGAGGATGGAACTGCATTTGCTTTGGGAAAAAATCCCCCTTGTTTTTAAAAAGTCAACATTTGTAATAAATGTCAACACTGCAAAATTGCAGTTAATTGCACTGTTGATTGAAAAAAAATACTTAATTAAAATTTCACCTGAATTCTCAATGTTTCCAAAATTTGTAAATATTTTTTTAAAAAATTAAATCCATCTCGCTCTGTTGACAACTCTCTTTCACAACTCAGCTTAGGATCTCTTTCTTTGGGCAGAAGATGTACAGTGACAGCTTACCCAGACCCCGCGGCAAGCGATAAGAAAGGGACAGATGCTTGTTCTGTATGCCTTTGTGTGATGTGACATCTGCTTTTCCTTTCCATCAGAATCTGGCCAGAGCATCGCTTGTGATAACTCCAATGCCACGGTGCAGTGTGGCTCAGGAGAAGTCATTCAAATTGATGACAGTTTCTATGGGAGGAAGACCCCTCATTACTGTGTACTGGAGACTCCTCTTCAGTTTGACACAGATGACGACTGTAGCTGGACCAGCGTCAAGGATGAAGTAGCAGGTATCTCATTGTAACATTTCCCTGGAGACATGGAGTAAGCACTCATGTGGATGGCATCTAACACAACGGAATTAATGGAATTAATGGGTCAAATGCTGGTTGCAGTGACCCAGCGTAGGACTGGGTTATATTTGTGCCACTGGCAATTTAATCCATTATTGACAGAACTAAGAAGTTATTCAGCTCTGCACTTTTTGTTAGGCTCATTCCCTGTTCATTGCTTCTAACAAGCTAATTCTACAGGCACGTGTTTTATTTTCTGTGGTTGCAGCAGAGACCAGTGACTGTCTGAAAGGAACGCATGCTGGCAGACAGTTGCAGTCTTGAATGAAGGTGAAGGAGACCTGTAGTAGTCTACAAGATATCATACTGCAAAGCTTTCTATTCTTTTCAGAGAAAAAAACTCATATTAAAATCAATTTCTTCTCGTTTCTCTTACCATAGGTTATGGGGAACCTGTAGAAAGCCAATTTATTGTTTTATCCTTATTTTATATTTCCATCCTATGTATTGCCATATTAGTTTGCCCACTAATTATCAACTAATTGATGTCTGGTTTATGACTGATACAGCTTAAAGTTGCCTGCACATCCTCATTATTTCCACTTGGGACTTCTGTGATAAGTCTCTTTTTGGTTGATCCACATCCAAAACTGATAGATCAGCTAATTCAAATTCATACAGTTTGTCTGACCATCTGTTTGTACAATTTATTTAATATTTCCATTAAACAGTCATTCACTTGCACACACAGTCAGGGTCCTTCAGACCAGGGTGGCATCTTACATGTAGAATCTGGTTTCTGTATATCAGGCAAACCTTATTATTTTTGGAGGATATCAGATCAGATGAGAGAAAACTGGGTGTTCACATAGACCTTGCCAGTGGTTTAGCAAAGTCAAAGCTTCAGGAGCTTCTGCAGTTGTTTATAGATCAGAGGACTGGTTGATGATACCCATAACAATATCTCGTCTCTCTTTCTCAAACTAATAAAGTTTAAGGGTCTGGGCACATAAATAAGCTATCACCAGGTAAGCAGCTACTCTGTGGTAACTGTCCATACGCACACTCTTACACCACAGTAAATGCAAGATTGCTCACTCCATTTCCAAGAGGTGCAAGAATGGAAACAGGAAATGGTGGAAAAGTGGAGAATGGGACATCACGAAGCCCCTGGCATGAGGAAGGGAACTTGAGGATCCAATCCTCATCTAGGATTGAAAGTGGGATGAAGAGTGTACAGAACCTCTGACCTAAGAAAAAGGATGGGGAAACTCATAAAGGGCTAGATCTTATTTCAGTTATTAGGCTTCTAAATTGACTTAGGTTCCTGAGTGTGATCCTATTCCACCCTGCTCAAATCTCTGAAAACCCAGTGATGTGACAGATGGGCAGGCACTTTGCCTCCTGGCTTCTTTTTCTGTGATTTAGTTTGAAGGCTAAGATAATGGCCTGTTACGAAAATAGATGCATTAATGGATTTTCAAGGGACTCAAGCAGAGTGGAATAGGGTTGCACTTAGGTACCTAAGTGTACTTAATAGATGGAATAAGATCTGGCTTAAGGAACTCTTGAAATAGAGGGACACAGGATGATGGCAACCAGGGAGTGTTTATGGCCTGGAGAATAGCAAGGAGTCCCTGGGGTGTGCAAGCTGCAGAAGATATGCAGTGTGCTACCCCTTCATCTGACAAGTGGCCAATGTGAGACTGGGCAGTTGATTCAGTCCTGCTGCACAGCTCTGACTCTGGGCCAAATGCAATCAAAACTCACCACTTTGCTGGTTCTCATCCTTCCTAACTTCTGTGTTTTTGGTAAGTGCTTTGATGCTTTCAAAAAGCAGCAAGTCAGCTACACAACCAACCCAAAATACCATGGGAGTTAGCATAGAAATCAATGTCATGATCCTGCCCTTTGTCTGCAATCCATTCTCCCCTCTCCTTTGAGCTGCTGTGAAGTTTAAAGCTGGGTACTTTAATCTCCAGTGAAACTATATTTCCTTCCAGGGCAGTGTCATGGACTGCAGGCATGCCAGGTGGCAGCAGATGGGACCTTCTTTGGTGATCCTTGCCCAACTTTGGGGGGCTATTTGTCTGTGCAATACCACTGCATGGAAGGTAAGCAGCACTAGCACCAGTACAACCCTGTGCTCTGATATTGTGAATATTGTTGGAGTTTTATGAAGTTACAGAGGCACTTGAACCAAAAATAGCCAATGAAGCTTTGAAATATCCCAGGACCTGTAGTGGTTCAAATGCCACACTGAGGCTGAAATGCATTATATGGAGATAGCCCCAAATGGAAAATTTCTAATCCAGATTAGAAGGTTCTCCATTGAGATCTGATGTTCTAATTTAAGCCCCACTTCTATTATGGTTTAAAAATATGTGTTCAACTGAACTTAGTGTTTGTAAAAGATCCTGCAGGTCTTTAAGCACCTGCAGAATAATTATAGCTCAGACAGTAATAGCTCACCTACGACCAGAAAACTATTACAACAAGGGTACTTCTAATTTCCATGGCCTATGTCTGCTGAAACAGCCAATCAAGCAACTGCTTAATATGATATGGAAGAGTTACCCCCTAGGAACTGAAATGAAGCCACCAACAGCCCCCAGACAGGGATGACTGCTGAACTGACCTGAAGGTGAATCAGTAACTGAGAAGTGATCTGTAGCCTGCTAACTATGACTTGAACAAAAAAGCCCTCAGTTTTTCATTGCCAGCTCCATAATCTCAGGGAGGGAGAGGCTGGGCCAGGGGATACATCTAAAAATCAATTCATTGCATTAGGAGAATCTTCTTAACCAGCAGCACAGCCTCCCAGTTGCAGCTAACAAACCTATGAAGCCTTTAATAAAAATACATGACTAGAAAGTTCAAGCATATACAAAACACTCAAGAGGCCAATTATAGTTTCAGCAAGAATCCTGGCAAGGAAAAAAATCAACTGGATGCTCTGTGTCATTATTGCCCTCAACTGGTTTAAACAGGTAGCAGTTAAGTAGGTCTGCTTCAGCCCAGGCCAGCTGCCACAGTGTGCAAAAACTTAATTTTGTAGTGACCTTAGGCAGATGATGACGCTGTGCTCTGGGCATTGTGTTTTACAGGTCTGCAGCTGACCGTGACGGATACATGCTTTATCTTTGAAAATATCACAGTCTCTTTGAAATGGCTGCTCTCTCCCTATTCTGGCAACCTCTCCTGTATAATTAGCACCGGAGATGGACAAACTATTGATCCCTACTACCCTCTTACGTAAGATTAAGCTTTTATGCACATCCTTAAAGTCAGTATATTTAGGTATCTGCAATTTTGTTTTTTAATGTCTCAAACCTCTGAAAACAAGATGTTGCAAATAAAACTGTGACAAGGCCTGGAGACAAGATGGTTGGATTTTGCAGTAACTCATCTTGAATTATTTAAGAAACAGCAACAACATTTTGGTGTCAGGCTGCCAATCATCATCTTTCATTTGCTTAGTATAAGCAAACTCTGATTCATTCTAATGGTCTTTAATATACATCCTGTGCACATAGAATTACTGAAAAATCTGCTGTCCTTTTAATGAAAAGAAGTTACAGTTTCAAGCCTATTATTTCTTGTTCAAGGGCATTTTTCAATACTTGATATTATTTGCAGTGGTCTCACGGTGCTTCGTTATATTTGTTTGGGCTGTTCTGTAAATTCCATTACTATTTTTCAACAATAATCTTTTTCACTGTCGGACTTAAAAATCAAATTTGACTGTATTGTTCTAGAGCAGGGAAAGCCAGTGACTGAATTAGACCAGAAGTTCATCTGTGTACTTATCCAGTCCAAGCTGAGCCTATTGTAAAATGAGCACAGAGCAGAATGGACAAAAAGCAAACTGACTTTTAAGCATTCTTTCAGTGTGAATAATTTAAGGTCATGAAGTAAAGAACAGGTATAGAGCTTCTTAAAAATATAGAGAATCACTTTCAACTAGACTGTATCCATTTAAGTGAAATATATGTGCTTGCAGCAAGTGGCAATGTCTGCTTTTAAGGCAAAGCTTTTTTTATTTTTACTTCACCTCCTTAATACCCCACTAAATCCTGCTCTTCTAATTTACCCTCCTGTTGTGTCCTATCTGACCCGTAGCTGGGAGTTCTCAAAGACAGGGGTTTTTCCCTTTGGTCTAGTCTTGTCAGGTTTAGGGATGTTAGCTGAGCCCAGTCTAAACCTGGCCTGCTTGCTAGTCAAGACAAGGCCTTTTTTACAAGACCCCAGTCTGACATAGTCCTGGTCTTTTGACTGGGCATCTTAAGTGGTACCATGGTAAATAAATAAATAAATAGCTGGTAGCTGGATTATTTTATACATTTGTTTGCTTTCCATGGTTCATCTCCTCTTCCTTGTGTCCCTGTTCCTGTGTCTCTGAGCAGGGCTAGATGACATGGTAGAGGACAGTGTGTCTGCACCTCTGGGAAGTAAAATATCCCAGGCTACTTACTTGCTTTTTAATCTCTCTGCCTTAATTTAACCAATGTAAGCTGGTTTTGCTGAACTACTGCACCCACTGTTGTCACTAGGGGAGGTGCAGGTGTGTTAGCAAGGTGGAAAAATGTTGCGAGTGAGTCCAAACATAGATGAAGGCATGCATAAGAAGAAAGAATAGACTAGAAGAGGGAAAGCTTACAAACTGCTGAGCACCCCGAGCTTCAACTCGCTTGCCTCCGAGAAGGGAAAATCAGGAACAGAAGACTAGGGCGGGGAGAAAGTTAGTGTGACAACATAGTTGCCTGCTATGACAATTTAGCTGGGACAAAGATACAGCCCTTAACCCTAAAAGAAAATATCTAAGCACCCTAGGGATTGCATTGGGTACAGGAGATAATCTCCATCAGAGCAGTAATTTAGGAAGTATGGCCCTTCCTCTCAGATCACGCTGCTACAAACTTTTCAGTGCAACCTTCTGCTTTGCATTGTAGCTTGTCCAGCAATGTAACGCATAAATATACATCTCCTGGAGAGTTCACTGTGTTCGTGGAGTGCACGACCAGCGAGTGGCATGTAACAGCACAGAAACGCGTGACTGTTCAGGACAAGATGGATCAACTCAGCATTACAGGGTGCTATAGCCAGTATGGATCAGGGAACAGTTCTCACTGCTGGACACTATATGGGGAAACGTTATGGATCCAAGTGGAACTTAATGGAGGTGAGAGCAATTACTCTGCAGATTCAGTGGTGGGTTCAGTGATGTGCCATTAGTGGAAACAGGCAGATTCTTCACAAGATGAATCTGGATTTCTTTTATGAAAGGAGCTTCCCTCATTCCCTGTGTTACAGTAGTTGAAACACTTCAAATGTGAACCAAATGTTTTTCCCTTCTAAACAAAGAGGGAGCCTAAAGGATAAATGCAGGTCTTAGCACCAGAGTCGGTAGGGAGAGCAGCGAGTCTGTGAGTCAGCTCCTTTGCCACATGCTCATTGTGTAACAAGTCACAAGTATCTGCTGCTGCCTCGCTTACCCCTCTGTAAATCTAGAGTAGCAACATGAGTCTTCCACAAAAAGAAGCTGTTTGGAGGCATTATTTTATAAAACCTGCTGAGAACCCTGGCAAAAGGCACTAAATAAGTACCAAGGACAATGATTGTATACTAGAGCCAGGTGAATAATTTGTAAGAAGTATCTTACAAGAGGAATCTATCACAGATGCACTGTAAATGTCTCAACATTTTTTTGTTACTCAGAATGATTTACTGGGTAATTCTGGTGGTTGATTTTACGCCTGCAGTAGAGTGGCAAGTTTTCACAAGTCCGGACTCATCAATACTCATGCTAATTTAATTGGACACGTAGGGCTCAGTTACATCAGGGCTGAACATTCTTGGCTCTGATCCTGCAAAGGGGGAGCTTAGCTCTAAGCATTTATGTCCCACTGAAATCAACGGGAAGACTCACAAGCTGAAAGTTAAGTGCTGCTTAAGCCCTTTGTTGAATCACGACCAATGTGCTCAGCACCTGCCAGAATCAGGCGCAGAATGGGATGTCCCTGGGAGATCAGACCCCATCAAGCTAAGCTGCTGGAGTACAGGCCCACAACTGACAAACCCAACTTCAAGGTTGCGCTCAAGTTCTGTCACTGGCATAGATGCTGCTGACAGTAAACTTATTTGCTGGAGTATTCATGGGAAGCAAACCAAAAGGGGCACAAACCCCACTGTACTGAATTTATTTTAAAATGAAATGAAATGGTTGCAGGCTATCCCTGTGCTAGTTGCCTGCCTTCTGAATGCAACAGACAGCACATGGGTTGGATGTTAATGTCTAGGGCAGCAGTGATAGTTCTGAATATTTCTTTTCCAGGCAGTGGAGTGACCTACACTGTCTTAGCGGATAACATGACTCTCATTGAGTCCACTGCAAAGACAGGGATCATCCCTTACAACCTGACGCTTGACAGCACCTCTCAGCAGCTCCTTGGCCTGGGGATACACCTACTGGCAATTCTGGCATCCAGCAACACAACAATCTCAAAGGTCTCTGAGAGCCTCACTGTTCACTTAGTGGAACCGATATCTGGTCTTCAGGCTTCATTAGCTTCTCACACTCTGGAAATGGGAAAAGACTTGGAGATCAATGTCTCTGTGGCTCGTGGTGTACCAGACAAGCTAAAGTTTGAAGTGGTTGGCTCCAGTGAAACGTATTCTCACCAAAAAGACTATCTTAAAGGAGAACCTGGAATATATAGAGTTCCTATTCATTCAGAAGGTATGGCACACTTTTATTCTCATATATAACCACATACCTGGCTGTATGTCCTTTACTGTAGTTTAAGAAAAGCAAGCAAGCAAGCAAACCAACCCAAAACTCCAGTCTCCAAGACAGTATACAATGTACTACCCTGTAGCAGGCTCTGCCTCTGGGAGACAAATAGCTGCTATAACCGCACAGAGTTTATATAAATCTAAAAAGCCTATGTGATATATAATACATATGTATGCATAGAAAACAAAAGTATCACAGTTTCATCACAGATACATATGCCACACAGCAGGTGTTTTCCTTCCCTTTAATTATCCATTTCACTCTCAGATTACAGCTAGTAATCTAGCTAGTAATCTATTTAGGTGGGCAGCAGATGATTTTGATGCACAGTAGTCCAAGTTTTATTGGACTGCTCTCTTCCCATCATATGCTGCCTGGAATGTAGAATTCAGAGGGAGATGCTCCAGAAAAGCAGGCCACTTTCCAGAGTTGGCTGGGCACAATTAGTTTTTATTGCTTTCCTGTGTTAGTATTTTAGTTAACTGGCAACACTGACAGGTTGTGTGACAGAAGTCAAAGGGTTAAAAAGTTGTGATGCAGACATTTTCTGAGGTTCTGATACCTTGCTTGAACATTTATCTCACGCTAAGTTTAGCTTATTCGTTTACCACAAAGGAAAAAGGAACTTTTAATTAAAAACAAAAAGTCCTGAAACAACACAGAATTGGAATTTGTGTCTCAAACATACAGGTCTAATGCACCATTATTCCTAATGCTCTGCCTACCTTTGCCCATCTGTCTTTCATAGGTACTTTTCTGGTCAAGGTGCTGGCCATGAATGCCTTCTCGAACATGAGCATGGATATTGGGAGCATCACAGTGTCAGCCAACAATTCTCTTAAAGAAGGTAACTGCACTTACCTGACAGAGCTGTTCTGATCGTGTTCAGTGACCCTTTCCGATATGGCAGTTCATGGCACTGAGCATTTGATGGCTTGCAGACAGAGCTCTGATCATTGCTTGCCTCTAGAAACAGCGCTGGTAAACCTTTTGGAAGCTCTGGGTAAATGTTCTACAGTGGGAAGAAAACAAAATCTCTGTGTATAATAATCATTCCTCTTACTCTGAATTTAAATAGAGACAAAGAGAAACTGAATGGGCCTGGAGGACTGCTCCTTTCTCACACACTATAATGTTCCCTTTAAGGTAGGGATAGAGCATGTTGGCGTGGCAATATAGGAAAGGCTGGATTATTCAGTCTGTGTTTTCTATAGTTCTCTGTAGTGTTTGTTCTCTGCAGTCCTGCATTACTGAAGCCCTGGCAGCTTTGCTATTGTGTTCAAAGGTACAGGAGCAGGGCCCACATGGAAAGAGTTTGTGTCTTCAGGGGGTATCTGATCTGTACCTAATCCCAACACTGAAATAATTTAAAATTAAAGCCAGACATACAGCATACTTTTCTAGGAAAAGGCCAATGGCTTCTTATCACTTCTTCCTACTGAAGGGAGTGACCCTGCATCTGAAGTGGTCCCAGCATGGCATCATACCACACCAGTTACACATTTTGCATGGGCTGTCTGTGCTAGAAGGAATCAGCTAAACATGAGATCCTGAAAATGATTCTAGAGATCATATAATCTGTATCTCAGCGGTACCACACACTGCTGTCTATATACAACATTCACCTAGATAGCTCATGGCCACACATCAGTGTAAGGATGATAATGGCAAGGGTACTATGAATAAAAGGGCTGAAGCATTAATATGACTGAACTTTCAAGTTGTTTCTGTACTCCAAAGTTTTGGATTGTGATTTCACTTCCTCTAATCTAATTCTATCACCTCAATGTATTTACTCTTGCTTTATATCCCCATCCAGGGAGAATTGAGATCATCTTCAACTATGTTAGTTGCTTGTCTTATTCCTACATTCCTGACTTAGAGGCAGACTTTATATTTCTTCTATATCAGAATATTCAGCTAGCGCTGTTAGGCAGCTTTATGGATGGCGTTAAAACATTTTCCTGTTTTCGTTATACTAAACAGATGCTGCTCAGGACGAAAACATATCCAAAGAAAATACCCGAAAGACAACAGTGAGTGTTATTCAAAGGTTTCACCTTGAAATGGGAATGCTAAGAAATATCTCTTGGTTGTTAATGTACTGCTTGGGGATGTTTTGTAAAAGTACTCACAACACATCATTGACGGATCTGATTCTGCCTCTTGCTAAAGCATCTTCAGCTCCTGTTGACTCTAGTGCTTAGCACCTCAGCTGACTGAGCTCCATTAACCTGAAGTATTGTAATCTAAAACGTTAGCTTCATCCCAGAATCCACACTATGCGTCTTTGAGATAAGCACATTTATACTTCTCAGATCTAATCTTCACAGTAAAAGCCTGTAAGTAAAAGCAAAAGACTAGAAAACTCTTCACCATGACCAAGCCAGTTTATGAAACCAAACTTACTCAGATATTCTTACATTGTTTTAAAATTCACTAATATAAAAAAAATCATTTCATTGAGACAGCATCATCAAGTAGATAACACTCAGTGCCTTTTTACAATGGCTCACTCCCTTTTTCTTTAGGACAAACAAAGAAATAAAATATCCATTAAGCCTAGTCGCCACGTGGATCCCTTCACCACGGTTATGCTCGGCTGGCCAGATGACAGTGAGAGCTTGAGCTTCACATGGTCCTGTGGTACGTGAAGTGCTTCATGATGCTTTTCTGCCACTCGCTGCCAACCAGGTGGTAGGCTCACCATTATACTGGCTGTATGGTGCCCGTCTTTTTGTAAGAGAATAGAGACTCCACCTAACTTTAAACAACAGCTACACACCCTTTGTACTGTCAAAATATCACCCTTCCCGAGTCTAGCTGTAATAACTAGATGCTGCTCTATGGATTATAATCTAATCCAGGGTTGGCCAGTCAGCAGCATGGGTTCCACAAATGGCATGGACAGCCTCTGAGTGTGGAAGTGTAGATCAGGTACAGGGAAGGGAGCAGAAAGCAGAGTAGCAGAACAGGCATGGAAAAGGGATCAGAGTGGCACTTGGATAGGGTGCAGGGCTAATATGTGATATGTCTGCTGAAAAAGAGGGACTGTTTGTGCAGGGGCCTGCTGGCCTGGCTGGAATGACTGCATGGAGCAGCAAGTCATCCCCACCAACCACAGCCAGGTGAAGATCCCACCTGCCTGCTTGCCTCCCCCGAACTCGGCGGTGACCGTGAAAGTTACAGTGAGGAACCACAGCAAGGAAGAGAGGCAGGATGAGCAATGTCTGTATGTGACGGCAAAGCAACGGCTGCACCTGGACATCAGGTGGGCTGGCAAACTGCACTGGTTCTGGCATGGCCCTTTCTCCACAACTGCAGCTCTGGAACATGACTGTTGTTATTACATGTTAGAATATTTATGTAGCACCATATATGCGCGTGGCTCTTCACAACCACAGGAGCACAGCACTGGCAAGGATACCCTGGGACGAGCCAAACCTCTGCTATTGTAGCAACCATGTCATTTTATACCTTTTATACACTGATCAAACTCCACCTTAAAACTGCCCTGCTCCAACAGTTGTTAGAATCAATGCTTTTCTGCCACTCACTGCCAACCAGGTGGTAGGCTCTGGGCACCTAAATCCCTTTGGTAGTTGAAAGTCCATGGGGATTAGACTCTTTAGCCAACTAGGAAATTATGAGGATTTTGTTGTTCATGAATTCATGGGTTTACAGCTGCATATCCCAGGAGTTTTGAGTACATTTACCCTTTGGGTCATGACAACTCTTCACTTTCGTTCTAGGTGTGAGACAAACTGCAAGCCAGTAAATGCTAGTGAAGAAGTTGTTTTGAGTGTCACCAGCCAGAAGGACCCAGAGGTCATGCGCTATAACTGGTATTTGGACAACACGTTCCACGCAAAGGTGAGACTGAGCAGGTGGGGCAGGAAATCAATCTACACCCAAACGGTCTGGCTTGACAGGGAACACTTAGAGGTATGAATGGGGCCTTCTCCCAAAGCACAAAGGGACTTGCAGCAAGCGCAGACGGTCGTGGTAATGGCATATGTAAAAAGTCGGTGAAAAGTGCAATTAGACATATGTTTTTTATGCAGGTTTCAATCTTCCTTGTCATGTCTGTTCAAGTGAACAAAATAATTCACCAACTTGTCATTCATTCTTTGTCAGTATAATGTGACCAAGTCCCATATACTTTATCTGGATAAAAATTCCAGAGATGCCAATGTGAGTTTTTTTGAGTGAGAGTGTCAGGGTTAGGTCCAAAGTGTGCAAAACTGCTGAACTCTTCATGGAAACCACAGTATAATGCACAGGAGACAGTCTCTTCTGCCTTGCTGTTTTTCCTGTTTGATTTTCTAGCCTCCTCCGCTCCCTGCAGCCTGCACTCTGAATGGTTTCCGGCAAAGCTCATTGATGCTGCTTCCGAGCAATAGATCTGCATTGGTATTGAACAGCTCCTTTCTGCAGACACATGGAGACGCGTTCCAGATTAAAGTCATAGGTAGGGCTACGCGAGGTCTCAAGCCCTTCACTAAGATGCAATCTCTGCCATTCGGAAGCATTATATACAGAGGCAAGTTTAAGGCTCGCATGAGTGAAACAGACCACTGTAGTGAAGATTCACTAACTTTTGCAGCCAATGGCATCACATCCACATGCAAGAGTATGTGGCCAGGATCATATCCAGCCAGCTTTGAACCCCCTATACTAGGTGTTCCTATTTAGGAACACTAGGTACCTATTTACACCTATGCTAATAAGGGGAAATTTAGGGTAGGGCTTAACTAATGTTTCTAAAACATTTGGCTCCTTAACTGCTTTGCCTCTACTCTGCCATCATTCTGAGTATGGTAAAAAGTCTTCTCAGAGGACATATACAGTTAAATAACTTCATGCACCAACCCTATTATTCACACACTACTGCTTAAATCCCTTAATTCAGTACACACAAGAAAGCACAAAGTGGAGGAGAGTAGTAATATGAGGCAACTGATTTTGTGACCCTAAGTCAATGTGATGGCAACTGCCTGACATCTGGAAATGCTCTGTTGGTAAATATTTGACTGTGCAATATAGCTTTGCCTTACAGGGCAAATAAAAGTGTGTGTTTTTGGCTCTTTCTATACCATGGCTGAGGCTGTAAAATGATTTCATTAACATTTCCAGGACTCAAATAAAGGAGATCAGTATGAGAGCATACAGGATTAGTATGAGATGATCAGTTCTAATGGAAGATGATAATTTTTTTCCCTGAACTCCCCAGCACTGACTCAGCATGAATATGGTGAAGGAACTCACATTGTCAGCATGGTGGCTGCACCAGGAGTGCCAGCCTGTGCTATATCCCCTGAGGAGGGGTCGGTGCTCACCAGTTTCACCATATCCTGCAGCACCTCCTGCTCGAAGGACTCGTGCCTGCCTGCGCACCCCAGTCTGTTCACATATTGCTTCTATCTGAAATCAAGTAAGGCTTGGGGCTCATATGTTTAATTATTAGGTTCTCTAGGCATTTACTCATGCCCAGGAGCTTCCTGGGCAACTGCTACTGCTGCCAAAATTATTTAAATACCCTCGCTTTGGGCAAGTGGCACCTTGTTCTGCAATTAGGGTCATTCACTTCAATGAAGAACTGGCCAAGCTAACTGCTGTCCTTGGTCAACAGACCAGGCTCTAAGTCAGTGTTAGGAAAAATGTGCATAAACAGTGCATATATTTAGCATGGGGTCATAGTCTCTGAAACAGTTCTCTTCTGAAACTTTGAAGGATTTTCAGAATTACAGAACCACCTTAGCTAAGGGATCTGAGTGCAATCTGCATCTCTGAAGGATGCAGAACTTCTTCACCCCGGGCCTGTTCAGGAGGGTGAATCTTGTAGGTAGAAGTTATGTGAATAACATTAGCATAACGGGGGGGTTGGAGGGTGGGGAGGCATGAGAGGAGCACCCAGACAAAGAGAAGAAACTTCCCTTACAGTCTGTGGCCCGTTATTTTCAGAAATAGGAGCTGTCTGAGGGATAACCCCGGGTTTTCTCTTTCAGATTCTCTGTTGCACTGCGGCCCAGATCCTGAACTCTCATCCATTTATCTTCCACTTGGAGAAGAGGAAAACAACTTCATTTTACATGTCACAGTTATTGTCAGCAATAGCTTTGGTGACACAGTTCATACTAATGCTACAGTCAAGGTACATGGAAAAATTCCTTCCTCTCAAAGGGTATATCCACTCTGAGAACTGCACTAGCAGGCACCAGAGTGAAGCGCACCAGGACTGCTCCCCACATCGGGCCCCCAAAATGTATGTGATATATCTGCCTTAGTGCAGTGTTCAGCACCTGCTAGTAAGTTCTCCTAAAAGAGTTAGGTAATGCACACACTGTGCGCTTCCCTGCACTTCCCTGGGTGGAGTTCTCAGCCAATGTGAATATGACCAAGTCCCGCTCCAGCTCCTAACCCCATGTTTCTGGGAGCTTGGGTCTCCTCTCCCCATTTTATCCCTATTACTCTTCCATGATCCCATGCCATGATCATCTTTCTTAGTCAAGGAAAGGTGGACAGGAGACCTTGTGAGATCAGCAGTCTTTTCCATCACCCTTCTTCCAGGGTAGGGTTGATGGAAACTAGACGTATGCACCACTGCTTCACCAGTGTTACTCAGTGAAATTAGTTTTCATTACTTTGATTTCCAAAGCATTCCCTCAGCGTGAAATCAGAGTGCTGCAGAGCTGAATTAGGCTCTAATTAAAGGATATATACCTATCAGTATCTTTTAGTCAGCCCAGTTAGATGAGTCAAATTAGACTCATCTCAAGAAGAGACTGCAGCTTCTTTGTACATTGTGAGTTGGAATTTTTGATCAGAACATTCTTTTTTTCCAGATAAAAAATATTTTTTTCATCAAATGTTTTTGCACATTTTCTTTTCCTTCATCTGGTTGGAAAACCTAATCGAAAAATATTTTCAGTGAAAAATGGGGAAACAAAATTATCTCTATGTACCATGCCTAGTTATGATACCCTTTGGTGGTGCTGGGAATCGTGAAAGGTAGTGCCCAGTAAGAATGCAGTGGGCATGTCTGATTTCATCCTCAGGTTACACATGAAGAACTGGATAATGGGAACCAGACCCTGCATGCCATTGTATCTGAGAAAACAAACACCATCCTAAAAAATGGGAACAACAGCATGTCCCTGTTCCAGCTGTACAAATCAGTATCTTCAGTCCTCAATCAGGAGACCCAGCAAGAGACCTATAATGCGTCTCTGCGGACAGACACCCGGAAGGAGGTTAGTCAGACAGTTTGTTTTCGTACAATACACAATTTGCTCTCATAACTGCAGGTCAGCTCTTGAGGAATGCCTGTCTACTCTAGCTCCCTGTCAAAGGGAGGTGGATATTTTTGCTACCTTGCAGGACTTTCCAAGGTTTTGCTATAGGTTTCAGCTACCAAGGAGCAACCATGTATTGCGTACCACCGGCCCAAGGGAGTTATTGGCTCTTTACTGCTCCTGTCTATTCCAGAACAATGCGATTCCCTTTTGCTATCCCAGTTCCTCACTCTGAGGAAGGATCCTAGTGTTTACTTGCTCTGGGACTGAGGGTGGGTAGACAACCTCTACTGAGGCCAGCAGCTATTAAAGATGCTGAAAAATAGTGAAATCTTTATCCTTCCCTAGGCAGATTCCCTGAGAAAGAAGGGGTTTTCTTCTATGATTCTCCAAGTTCTCCCTCAAGAAAACTGAGGCAGTAATAGCCCTTGAAGTCTTGTAGTGTGGAAGGCATTTGGCAGTCCCAGGCCTCTGGGTTTTTGTTTGGTCTCCAGTTGGGGCCAGGAAAGATTTTTTTCCCCTTCATGGATGCCATTGGCTTCTGGTGCAGAAGGGGGATTATCTTCCTCTGAGGCACTGGGAAGTTTGATGTATCTAAGTCTGGAAAGTTTCAGATGGGTCCACTCATGCTCCTGCTCATACTAGAAAACCCAGAGGCTAGAGGGTCTTGCTCTTCTACCCCCAGTCACTCCAATCTCTAAATCTGGATCAGGAAGGAATTTTTCCCCTAGATCAGATTGGTAAGGGCTGTGAGAGGTTTTGTCTTTTGAGCAGAGCTGGTTTTTTGGATGCTTTTGTGTGATTTCAGAAACTGTCCACCTGCAGAGCTGAGATGAAAAGTAAAAAGCTCAGTAGAAACCTGAAAAAAACAGTTCAAGCCAAGTGAAAAAAGTTTCTTTTCAACAGTTCAAAAAAAGGGGAAAAAATCTTTTGTCCTAAGAAATGCGTTGGAACTGATCCTCTCTCAGGGACAGTTTCAACTGTGATGCCTCAACCTTTCTGACAAAAAGGGTCTTATCAGAAAATCCTCCCCCTGAGTTCTGGTTGTGACACTTTTAGATAGTTCTAGTTCTGACGCTCCCTTAATGTTTGCATGGGGCCTTGAGATCTGCAGGCAAAGGTCTAGGGAAGTACGGCTTATTGTTTGATTACGATTCATTATTTTTCTAAATCAATCTTAGATAGATTTGCCTTCTGCAGAGGTGGTGTTTATATACTAAAGCCTGTACATCCCTCTTGATGCATAGGAATTCAGGCACGTAGCTCTCATTGCTGTTAATGGATGTTAAGCGTGTGAACCCCCTGTGTCTTGAGGAGACAAAATATTCCTCTGATTATACAGTCAATAACTGGGGAAAGAAGCAACTCATGAGCAGAGCTGATGTCAGCTCAAATTGTGCTTCCCACGGAGCCTGGTTTCTACCTCGTGATTTATAACAAACGAGGATGTCAATATCCAGCAGTACTTACAGGATCTTAATTACCATCTTTGTCCTGTTGTCTAATTATCTCCTTTCATCCCAAGCTGAGAGAGCTGATGCTGGCGACTCTGTCTGCTGTTAACGTAACATCAATGCAGACTGCTCTTAAGATGTCAGAGGTCCTGAAAGAGATCACACACAGGAGTGAGGAGCTCTCCTCCTCAGCCCAGGTGAGCAGCGCTGCATCTTGCATCACCTCCCAATAACTCCCCCTGCTTCCCCCACCCCTGTATCCCACAGGTCATTGACATAGTCCACAGAGGGTACCAATACGTTGGATCAGCCTATTTTTTACTCAGATTTTGAGGCATTAACAGCAATTGCCCACATGCCATAACAGGAGACTGTGTTTTTTACTGTGTAGAGTAAAGGACTGGGAAGCAGAAGTCTCAGTTCTCCTCTCATTTCCACCACTGTATCACTGCAAGTGATAGGCAATTGTGGCTTGGCTCTGAGCCAGCTATAAAATAGGCACAATAATTCTTAGCTGTCTCACAGCCATTTAGGATATATTATCTGTTCATGCCTGTAAATTCCCTGAAATCATGGAAGGAAAGGTGCAAGCAGGGCTATTCTGAAGCTGCCTTTGGCTTCATGCTTATGGCTCAGTGACTTCACATGAGTGCTCCCACCGACCTAAATGCCTGCTGTCTGAGAGAGGAGTCTAGCTGCAGCACAACTTGGGCTTGGCTTTTTCATGTGCGCTAGTAGGTGTCCTTGAACGGTATTTCCCAACATGACTCTGACCTTGCTAGATAGTCAGTAGATGGCACTGTTTCTTTCAGTGTTGGCTCTGGTGCTTTCCATATCAGGCTGCTAGAAGAAAGTGTAGCTATAGGGAAAGGACACAACAGCTCTGTTGCAGGCAGCTTCCCCAGCACACTGGCAATCAAATATGTGATCCCCTGATTTGTGCCAGATAACTGTGGGATGTTTCAGCACTGGGTGAATGGCTGCCTCCATATGACAAAAACATTGGTTTTGTCTCATCAGGAGAAGCTCAAGACTGAACTTAGTGGGGAACGGGCACAGGCTGGGCTGAGCAGGGGAACGTGCACAGCTTTTTGACAGGCTCCAACAGGGTAATTACTACTTGGCTTTCGTGAACACAGAATAATCGATGGCCACATTTATGCATTAAAGGAAATGGCAAATACACTTCCACCTTCAGCCTTTAGCCCTGTGCCTTGATTCAGGCAGTGTTTGTTAAGAAGCTAACGAGTTTCATAGAGAATAATGCTGGAATGTGTTAGTACATGTGCTTGACAGTGCAGTTCCTAGTTCATTGCCCAGTAGCATTATCTAATCTGTCCACCTGGGTCCTGTTACCCTAACGTCTAAACTCCGTGTTCCTGCCAAGGCCTCGGACCTGCACCACTGAGTCAGAGTTTTGTCAGCAAGGAAAGGGTGGCATCCGATTCCCAAGTAACTGCATAAGAAACCATGTCAGAGTGTTACTGCTTCTTCACTGTTTGGACTATTCCATCAGATGTGACATGTGCTAGGCATCTCCTATTGTCATCTGTGACCATGGAAATTTTGCTCTTCTGGGCATTACTTATCATGTTTCAGGACTGAATCTATAAGGCCAGGTTGTAATGCATTTCATCACACTGGAGGTTTGCATAGATTGTAAGCTGTTCATAACAAGGAATACACTTTTTTTTTGTGTTGGTACCATGCCTACCACTGTGGAGTCCAGGCACAAGACCAGGCTTAAAATGCTCCCGTAATATGATTAGGAGTGCCTTTGTCCACAAATAGTCCCACTAGACTATTCATGTCATGAGGTCTGGGTCAAACTAAACACAGCAACTGCCCGTGCAGTTCTTTATTACCATGTTAACATCTATCACTTTTTAAATACAGACACACAGAAATAAACATCATTTATTTCCTGTCCAGGTAGAAGCCAGCAACACGCTAAAAGATGTCAGTGAATCCCTGCTTAGGGTGAACATGGAGGACAGTGAGGATGACCAGAAGCGGAAGGAAGCAGCCAGCTACCTATTTAATGCAGTTAGCAATGTGCTGGAAGCGTCTGTCCATAACAGCACTGGGGCTACATCACCACCGGAGGCTGAAAAGGTGCTTCCTGCTTGGTTCAGCTTCTAATGAACTGTGTGTGAGCACCTGCTTGGCCTGGAGGTTGGCAGATAAAAGCTCTTTTTCCTGAGATGTGTTTTAAAGTGGCATAGGTGATGGCCCAGTGGGGCATAACTAATATAATGGGATTTTCACAGAATATCCAGGTAAGTCCCCTGTGGGAAACAATAACAGCCTCTTAAAGCTTGTGATGCTGGACACCGGACTGGACAGAGCTCTGGAGAACATGCTGCAACATGTGGAAGGGACTGTACTGTCTGACCCAGGTAGACTTAGGGTACTAGGATTTCTCCCTCTGGAACTCCCTCCCTCTCTGATGAACCAGATCATAGCCTGAGGAATTGTATGGGTCAGCACCATTAAGGATTTGACCCTACTGACCTCAAGCCCCAAATCATGTCCTGTGTTATTGTCCTCAACCCTTCTTAAACAAGCTGCATGAAGCTTTATGCTGTCCCTTCATATTTGTCGGTGAATTTTTGCAAATGCTTCTGTATGCTTCTCATGTTAGTGCCTTTTACTGCTGTAAGTGTGAGCAAGGGATACTATTGATCTACTTTGAAAGGAACAATTATGAATGCTTTGTATCTTGATCCTAGCCCCAGTTTTGACACTGGTAAGCTCTGTCATTTTGGGCAATTTCATCTATACTCTGTAGACTGCAGCTTTTCAGCTTGTAATATTCAACATCCATGGGCAGTGTTGCCAACCCAAGAGAATCTTTTTTCACTGACAATCTGAAAATGTTTTACTGACAAACAAACTATTTACTGGCATATGTTTTACATCATGTAAATGTAACCCTTCTGCCAGGCCCTGGACAAGAGGTGGGTTCACATTTAGAGGTTTAACACCAACCATTGTAGAAAAGTTTGGTTTTTATTAAAAGTTTGCAGATTATGAGCAAAAAAAAAAATTCTTAGGTTGGCAAGCCAGCTTGACTGCAGCAATGGTTTCACACCATGCTGTCCCCACCCCAGGATCCCCTACTCACTCTAGCACCCTGATGCCCACAGTCACACACCACCCTGTGTTGCCCCCTCCTCTGTCCCAGCATGAACAACCAAAGAAATAATACCTGCCTACCTGCCACACAGCAGTGTTACAGGCAGGTGACAGGATTGAGAAGCAGCACATGGGAAGTAGTTACAAAGCCCTGTGATAATGCTCCCTGTAGTGTTGTGCTCCTGATCAGACATCAGGTGGTGCTGCTCTGTCTGTCTATCCATCTCACTGTTTCAGACTTTATGGATAGGCATTTTAGCCTGTTTTTTTTACAGACTGTCTGTAAATTTACAGTTGGTAACACTGTTCTTACAGTCAGAGAGAAATAGGGCTGGAAGGGACCTCCAGAGGTCATCTAGTCCAACCTCCTGCCTGAGACAGGATCATCCCTATCCAAACCACCCTATAAAACCATGATCTAAACTCTACATAGGACTACCCTTAGCCCTTATGCAATACAAACCTAAAACCCTAACCGGCCACAGGTAAAGCAGGGGAACCAGAGCAGCCAATGTCCTTTTTCTAGAAAATGTCAATATATGCTCAAGAGGTCCTGGGTAGACAGGACCATGCCCCCTGCTGCACAGGAAGGCAAAACCCCCCCACAGTCTGTACCCATCTGACCATAAGGTAAAATTCCTTCCTGGCTCCAAATATGGCATTTGGTTTGACCCTAAGTGGAGGGGCAAGACCGTCTAGTCTGGATCTTTCAGCTTTGCTCCTAGCAGGAGAGTTGATACACCCCAGCTGAAGTCCCCAGCCTTAGCTGTAGCCAATGCCCAGTGCCTCTGGGGAGACTTAAAAACACTGACACATACAGCAGAACTGGCTTGACATTTTATGTTTGGCTGCATTGTTCTTCCAGCAGATGTCCAGAAAATTGAAGTCTCCCATCAGTACCATCCCATAGCTTTTAGATAGATTTGTCTCCTGCTTGAAGAGTGCCTGATTAAGTGGCCTATACTAAATCCACACCATTACATTAATACGTTTCATCTTCATCCAAATGCATTCTGCTTTGCCTTCTTCTTCCTCCTGAACCAGGGAACAAGTGTATGTGTTCTGACATACAGGGTAACACCATCACCTTTTCTCCCAGTCCTGTCCTTCCAAAACAGAGTGTAACCCTTGATGTTCATATTCCAGTCATAAGAGCTATCCCACCAGGTCTCAGTGATATCTGTCAGATCATAAGATGGGTGTCTTAAAGGGCAAACAATTAGGCCTTTAAAAACTGTTTAAGCATAGAAATGAAGCACAAAGAACTCCCACCAAAGCCAGGGAAATAAACAACTGCTCACATTTGATGGATTAAAGGCACCAAGTGCTAACATTATTGTCAGATTTCATTAATTTACTATATTTATTGCCATCACAAAAACCACAGATGTGGTCCACAGCAAAGCACTTTTGGTGCACTTCATAATTGCTTTAAAATTCATCAGCTTACATCTTGCTTTATCCTGTTCCCCATAACCACAGTACCCGAACACTTGAGGCTTCATTTCTTCCTTCTCACTTAATAGTTTTCCAATCTTTGACAGACAATAAGGTTTGTTATTTACTGCTTATAGTCATGCTATTGCTTATTGCAGTTACTTTCTTTGAGGTTAACATGATTATGGCTGTCTGTTGGCTTCAAAAGAAGCACTGAAAATTTGAATGGAGAAAAAGACAGCTCATTAAGAGAATAAAATAAGATAAAAGAGAGGATGTGTTCCTAATTCTGTTATAATAACAAATACATTGCCAAAGGTTCCCTTCCCTCATCCTTTTTCAGAGTTTGGTGTCAGACAAGCTGTTGAACACTGTTGAAAATCTGCAGAGCGCCTTCCTGTTTGGGAAGCTACCAGATGATGACCCTGTGGTTCTGGCTACTCCCTCTGTGGCAATGTACATAAACAGGTAACCATCAGCACATTTCAGAGGTGTTTCTACACACTTGACATTGTTGATATTTTCCTGGATGAAGATTAGATAACATCCTCATTAAATTGAGTCATCCCCAAATACTACAGAGATGGCAGCATCTCCATACGAGCTGTGAAATGTAATCAGTTATCCATTGTAAGGAGAGTTTTAATTCACCTAATTCAGATGGCTATTGTGGAAGTCCTTGTATACAGTCTTTGGGCGGAGGGTGCTTTTTGGGGTTATATAGATCAGGCAACCACCTGCTTAAATGTGATGGTAGGTGGAAAAAACCTGTTCTGTCAGGTTCATTTATTCTTTTTCCAGTGTTGCTGATGCTGCTGTAGGTACAGAGCTGTAAACAGGGCTGCACAGATTAAATGGGATAATAAGGAACTTGTAGAGAATTCTCGTCTCCAGAAAATCATCCAGTCGCAGTTGGTTGCCCAGTTCATGCAGTTGCAACAACTACTAATAGGAGTTGGGCATTTGTTCATACACATGGCTAAATAGATACACTTGCACATACAGATACCCGCAAACATGCAAATTGAACATGAATATTTAAAAAATCCTTCCCTGTAATCATTCTTTGCTAGTGGTGTCTGGAATGCTATAGCAGGCAAAGGTAATCTATTAAGTATCTGTCAGTGGAGTTAGAAGGTGTTCACCAACCAACTTTTACTACCAACATTTTTTTCCTTTGCAAATAAAATAATTTATTTCTTAGAAATTCTTCACTGTGCTATCCACATGCTATTGTCTTTGTCTCTGTCTCTTCATATTGTCCTCGTGTATGTGTGACCCAAATTCTGGGATAGGTTACAGACAGACAGCATGGATGGTACATCCATTCGTGTCTCCAGTTCCACCTCTGCCAGTTTTACTCTGCCATCTGCCTCTTCCCTAAGTGTCTCAGGAGATGATGATGACACTCTGGATATAAGGGCAAGTGATCAACTTTTCCTCTAACTTGACTTGTTCTATCAATTTATTCTCTTGGTCTAATGACTCTAGACCCTTTTCTGTTTCCACAAATGTCACACACTGAACATACACTGAGTGGCATATCAGTCATGCCACCACATTCTTTTGTAATTGTGTCAGATCATAGGAGCTTTGTCCTTTGCTGTAATGTATATGCATGCTGAAAGGCACTGAGGGTGGGGGGGATCGGTCACAGTTTAAGGCTTGGGCATGGCCCATTTAAAGCTAAGGGGAAGTGTCAAATATGGATTTAAGTTTGAATTTCCCTGGAGTTTGGGGTTGTCTGGATCTAAGTCTGGGAGCTGAGATCATTGCTGATCTACTGGAAATTTAAATAGTTTGTATATAATAAAACACTTAGTACAGCCCAATACCTATTGTTGTTAATGCCTTGCTGTAGATGGTGAGCTTTGCAGTGAATCCCTTTGTATCAAGTGATACCAGTCTTGAAATCAGTGGAGCTGTGGGAGGCCTAAGTCTTACCAGCTCGAATGGACTGGTCATACCAGTCAATGACCTTCCTGAAAACATTGAGGTAATATCAGTCTTTAGTCTCTCTCTTTTTCTCTCTTAGTGTGAGCTAACATCTTCCTTGCTTATTGATGGTCACTTTATAAATGTCAGTTGTATTATCATCATCGTTATTCTATGTGAAATCTCTAATAAGCAAATTTGGTGGCCAAATGGTAACCTGTTCATTGCCAGCACACAACAAGATCTTGGTGCATATATGGACTAGGAAAGAATCTGGTGTCCAAGATAAATACAATGGACTTACCTTTCATGAGGACCATTACAACAGATATGACATTCTATTTGTTCATTCAAGGGATTCCAGGCTTTTCCTTGTCCATCAACATATAAATGAATTAAGAACTAAAAAAATTGTGTGGGTGAATCCTCAAAGTAATGGAAGATGATTTGAAACTGCGGTTACCCTGAAACAAAACATGATGTTTTAAGTTCATTATCCCAAAGTTTTACAACCATATTATTATAATCTCTAGGCTAGTCCAAGTGTGCATCAAGAGATAAATCATAATAGAGGAGATATGGACTATTCAGAACTTTGTTTAAGCATCATGCAAATTACAGTGAAGCAGACATGCATTAGATGGCCCCTGGAATGGAGTTTCTTGACTATGCTTTTCTCTCTGTATGTTCTGGAAGCAGAAATTATGTGTCCTGCACATATTGTACTGACATGCAATAGGATCAAACCATAGTTATAATTTTTTCAGGATGTGTTTTTCTGTTTACATGTAGATAATGCTACCAAGGCTTCCAGCAATTCAGGAAGACAGGAGCCTTCTGAATCTGGGCAATTTTAGTGCTTTCCAAGTCAATATTACATCTGAAAATACATCTCTAGTGGTCCACCTAGAACCTGAACAGGATATTCCACTCGTTCTCTACTTAGCATATGGCTATTGTCCAAATGAGACTAACTATGATATAAAAACTCATTTGCCCCATACAAAAATGACTGGAGGTAAGATTATTTGTCAATGACTTTTAATCTTGGGTGCTCAGATCAAGTCTGCAGAGTACTGACCACCTTTAACCCCTGTTTCTCAATGGAAGTCCACCATGGAAACATTCACCATGAACTCTTAATCATTAGATAATATGAGGTTATCACCCATATTTTGTACTGGATTAGTGCACGTGCAAAGCCTTACAGTTTGGATATGCCATTAGATATACACTATTTCAGGGTCTGAAAGAGTTTCAGTCCATGTCATGGGTCAGGCCATCCCTGCAAAACCTGTGCAGCAATAGAAGCAATGAATGGGTGGTTGAGAAAAGGATTGCTGAAAGTTAACACTAATAGGTATTTTGAAGCCTGTCCTGTTATAATGTTTAGCTCCTATACCTGATTTTCTACAATGCAGCAGGTTATTTCTGAAACAAATACTTTGTACTGCATTGATTGTAAGTAAACTATTTCTGTTCAAGATACGTCAAGTACCTGGGTTCTCAGCCCAGAAGAACTCACTTTTGGAGAAGGGTCTTACTATTTTTTGGTGAAACAAGACATGGAAATGGATTCTACAGCCAGCAGTGATTTAACTGTAGCAGTCACTTGCTTTGTATCCCAGTGCGTATTCTGGGATGAGCTTCAGGGGAACTGGAATAGCTATGGGTGCCATGTGAGTAGAGAAAAACAAACATTGATTTTAATGATCTTTCCACAGTATGTTTCAAAGCCAGCCTGGGCAACAAGAACATGTGGTAAAATGAGTACATAAGATTTACTGGTGTCCAAATAACACAGTGACATAAGACCACTTTGAGATGGAAACTCAGGCTTGTCCAGTAAAAAGAAGAAGCAAAAAATTTGTATTTTTCTCAGGGTGGGGACAGCAGGGTGGGGACAGATTACAGTTAGTGCCATAATCCCCACTTCCTCCCCACTTCCTCCACTTAGAATCACGACACTGTGCTGGAACTGGAAGGGTTTGCTTGTGTAGAACAGTCCCCCTGCACTAGCTTACAAGCCTTGCTGCTCCTGTAGCTTGCTGGGCAAGTAAGCAACACTTTGAAGCCAGACATCAAGATATTATCAGCAAGACAGTTCTTTGTCTTTTAGGTAGGACCAAAAACAACCCCCATCAGTACCCAGTGCCTTTGCAACCACCTCACCTTCTTTGGGAGCTCCTTCTTTGTCACACCCAATGCCATTGACGTCAGCAAAACGGTAGAGCTGTTTGGCACTTTTGTGGACAACCCTGTGGTGGTGACGACTGTGGGCTGTATCTTTTTAGTCTATGTGCTAGTGCTTATATGGGCTCGAAGAAAAGACATCCAGGATAATGCCAAGGTAAGCCTTCTACTACTAGAGATTTGGTGCAATTGGATTATTTCCCCTTTTGTTTGGCCTCCTATGCTGTGGCCTTATTGTTTCAGAGAGCAGTAGGTCCCTTGTTGTCCCTACTGGGTAGTTCAGACGGGCCTTGTATCATCATCAGTGTGTTTTCTGCAATATTAATGAGGAAGCAGGAGCATAATTTTTCAGTTAATTGCCTTTAGCATATGGTGACATAAAAATATAGCAGGTAAGACTGAATTTCAGGTGTGACTGAATTTAGTTTGTGACTCAGAGGGTCCCCCTGCTCTGCCCATTTTCATATCACTCTCTAGTCTGCTTCTAGACATAATAAAAAAAAAAGAATTTATTTTCTTTGAAAAATGTTGCAAGAAATGTTGTATATGTTTAAATTTTTCATGGGAAGCTCACAGGGTTTTTTGATTCCTGGGGAGGGTTCAATGAAAAATCAAATGTTCTTCAGAAAGCCAGAAGATTTTTATGTTAAATGTCATGTTGTTGAAAGCCAGTTTTCCACTGAAAACATCTAGCTGAAAAGTCTGCCACCGGCCCTTCCTCCTGCCTGTTGGCTGTGTACTTCCTGTTGGGCACCTGCAGTGTCCATAAAAAGACACCCCAACATGGACTGGAAGGCAGCTCTGCTCCCAGCACTGCTACTGCTTTAGCAGCTGTGTTCATCCCCTCCCCATCCACCCCAGTGTTGCATCTTTTCTCCAGGTGAAGATCACAGTGCTGGAGGACAATGACCGCTTTGCTCAGTATCGTTATCTTGTGACAGTTTTTACTGGGCACCGTCGAGGGGCAGCCACAACTTCCAAGGTACTCTTGAAGCTACAGCCACAACTGTGTCTTTCGTGTGTTTATCAGACCGCTGGTTTGTTCAGCTCCAGGTTAACAGATGGTGTCATTTGCCAGTCTGATGTCTAAGGAGGGATGGAGTTGGGGGATAAGTAGACAAGTGCCGTGACAAAGGGATGGAGAGGCAACAGAGCAGGGGCACACTGGGTCTAATGTTAGCCAACCAGGGTATGAGAAGGACCCACATCATGGGAAGATCCATGAGGGAAAAGTCATTGGTACCTGTTGCCTCTGTCATCTAACTCATTTTGCAGCTAAGCAGTGCCAGAATGAGTTGGGCTCCTCTACAGACTGAATTCTGTAATACCCGTTCCGTCGGCCCGCTGGCTGTTGCTCAGCTACGTTTGGTCTGTGGGGATTTTGCCATGAGCCCCTTGGCCACTATGTACCAGCTCCTGATCCCCGCCATCAGCTTTTACTACTCTGGGCAGTTGCTATATGCACCAGTGAGAATTGCCAGACTAGGATACTCAGATGGGGCCCTGTGTACTCATAAAGCACTGGTATCCAAGCCATGAATAGAAATAAATGATTATATGCCCACGTGAACTGCACCTCTTTCAGGTGACTCTCACCCTATATGGCCTGGAAGGAGAGAGTGAGCCCCACCACCTAATGGACCCAGACACAGAGGTCTTTGAACGTGGAGGAGTGGATGTTTTCCTGCTCTGTACTCTGTTCCCTCTCGGGGAACTGCAGCGTATCAGGCTGTGGCATGATAATTCAGGAAACAGCCCATCCTGGTAAGCATGGGATTGAATTATCCAGGTAATGATAATACATCATGCTGAGGGGCTCAGGGCAGGATGCTGACTGCAGCATTTGCATGGAGTAGCACTGTCCATATATCAGATTCCCTCCTGACTTCCCACCCCACGTCCCTTATGTGTCTTCTGCAGGTATGTGAATCGCGTGCTGGTCCATGACCTGGCTTGGGATCAGAAATGGTATTTTCTCTGCAACTCTTGGCTGGCCATTGATGTTGGGGAATGTGTCCTGGACAAAGTGTTCCCAGTAGCTACTGAACAGGACATGAAGCAATTCAGGTAACTTCTCTTGTCTGACACTCCAACTTCTGGATGGCAGGAGTCAGTTTGAGTAAGAAGGAATGCAAAAAGGCTCTTGAGTTCACACCACTGAAGTGAGTGGGGTCTTTCCAGGGCTCTGAACCAGGACCAGAGGGAAGACTGCTTAGCTGATCTGATTCTTAAGCTGTGCCATTACTGCATGGAAATTGATGGACAGGAGAAAGATAGTCTGACAAACCTAGAGCAAAACCCTTCATCCCCCTGCTTTAATACACAGTTTCCCTGACAGATGGACAGACATAGCTTTTGATTTGTTTTGTCCTCACCCTGTAGCTACAGGCACAGGCCGCTGGGAACTCCATTTCAGCCACTGTAAAAGGCAGTGGCCCTGTGGATGCCTCATGGGTACCCCTGCTATTCCCAGTGCCAACACAGCTGTCTCACACCACCCCAACGAAGTCCGGTATTATCTCACTTTTCTACCCCTGTCTCACAATAGTGCCCACAGGCATGAGCCCGGGTGGGCTCCACTCTGCTCTGTCTCATCCCTCTTCCCTCTCTAAGTGCTGCCTTGCCTCCCCTCTTGTTCTTCCCCAGTAACCTGTTCTTCATGAAGACCTCAAAGGGCTTCCGCGATGGACACATCTGGTACTCAATCTTCAGCCGTTCCCCACGGAGCTCCTTCACACGAGCACAGAGGGTATCGTGCTGCTTCTCCCTGTTGCTCTGCACTATGCTGACCAGCATCATGTTCTGGGGGGTGCCCAAGGATCCAGCTGAGCAGAAGATGGACCTAGGTATCCACCCAAATCCTGGCTTGGTTTCTCTAGGGAGAGGGTGGAGGCAAGAAGCAGGTTTCCAGGGGTTGGAGAGGGGAGGCCTTTCCATGGGGGAGAAGCTCAAGGTCTGAAGGCTCCTCCTTGCTTTAGGGTAATTTTACCTTTTCTCTTTGCTTGACCCTGGCAGGCAAAATCGAGTTCACATGGCAGGAGGTGATGATTGGCTTTGAGAGCTCCCTCCTCATGTTCCCCATCAACCTGCTCATCGTGCAGATCTTCAGGAACACCCGGCCCCAGCCAGCACAGCAGCAGAAGGAGAAGAAACCAGGGAAAAGTGGTCGAGTGTCTCCTAGTCTTCCCCCACCCCCTCAAGCCATGCAGAGCATCTCACTCACTCCAGAGGCTGTGATAAAGGCAAGTCTCCCTGCTTGCTGGATGCTACAGGGGGACAGTAGGATGACCTGCACTGCCCTCTGCTGGCATCAGTATGAATTTTGGTTTTACTAAGCATGGCAGTAAAGCAGTATTTTGTCCTGGGTCGAGGGATGCATTGTACCTCCTTCAGCAATAAGCATTTTCCCCCTTCAAGGTAGAACTTTGCACTGCCCTCAGTAAGGTCTGCCCACGCATCTCCCCAGGTGGAATTTGGCCCATATACATTTTTCTGAAAACACTGTGGTCAGCGGTCACCATCTAATATCAAGGACATGACCAAGTTAAAGGGTAGACAAAGTTCTTTGGGTAAATGTGATATCTTCTATTAGACCAACTAAATAGTTGGAGAAATTGTTCTTTGCAAGCTTTTTGGGTACAAACACCCTTCTTCAGGCAGAGGGAGAGTCCAAAAGCTTGCAAAAAACAATTTCTCCAACTCTTTAGTTGGTCTAATAAATATCACATTTACCCGAAGAACCTAATCTACCTATATCCTTAAACCAACATGGCTACAACAAACACCCCCAAGTTAAAAGGTGACATTTATTCCCATAACGCCCCATCCCAGACAAACTGGATGTATTTTTACATCCTGACATTTTGTCCTGTTGGCCTCAGTAGTTTCATAGTTTCATAGTTTCTAGGGTCGGAAGGGACCTGAGCAGATCATCTAGTCCGACCCCCTGCCATGGCAGGAAGAGCACTGGGGTCAAACGACCCCAGTAAGGTGGTCATCCAACCTCCTCTTAAAAACCCCCAGGGTGGGAGCCTGCACCACCTCACTTGGAAGCTGGTTCCAGACCCTAGCCGCCCTGACCGTGAAGTAGCGCCTCCTGATGTCCAACTTAAACCTTCCCTCCGCCAGCTTGTGACCATTGTTCCTGGTCACTCCTTGCGGCGCTCGGGGGAACAGGGACTCCCCCAGCGCCTGCTGATCCCCCCTAACCAGTTTATAACAGGCCACAAGATCCCCCCTCAGCCTTCTCTTTTGAAGGCTGAACAGGTTCAGGTCCCGCAACCTTTCCCCATAGGACCTACCCTGCTGTCCCTTGATCATACGAGTGGCTCTCCTCCAGTAAAATGAGCCTGTCAGACCAAGGTGGTCCCATGATGGTATTTAACCCTGTAGAAGGGCCTTAATGCCCTATCCAAAGGTGGGGCAGACCCCACCATAGATGACACATGCGAGTGAAGCTTACCTTGGTTTCACACTACTTCAGCACAAGTACCAGTCACACGGGTACTGTCATGCTCTTGCTATGTCTTTCAGGATATTAAGAGAATTGCCAATTCATTGTTCAAAACACTGAAGACTCCACTACCCTCTTCAGAAACAGTGCTGGGAAAATCTGCTGACATCAACATGCTTTTGGCTTTGGTTGAGGATATCATCTGCCAGCAGAACCAAACTGGGCGAGAGTTTTATGATGAGAGTAAGAAGAAGGATGATCCTATCGTCATTACATTAGGCTCTGTGGATATCCAAGGTAAAACAGCAGATAGCGACAACCTTGCTGTGAGCAAAGCTAGTGGTGACTGCCACAGAGGCTAAGCTATCTCCTATTTCATTTTGACTCAAAGGCAGTTCATAAAGTCAGTTTCCTTTGGTGAAAAGGGCCTTTCTGTTCTCTGTTCTTTGCAAAGAATCAACATCTATCAAGAAGCTCAGGTTCCATAATCATGTTGTTCTTTGGGCTGACTGCCTCTCCTTCCTCTACCTGTGGGATCACCCTTTCCCATTCTGCTCTTAACTTAGGGCTTGACTTGGCCTAAAGGGCTCACATTACTGAACATTACTCTGTGAGTGGTGCCAGACTGATGTCTGAGGTTGCTAGGGGTTTTTTCAGTGGATTTGAGAAGTTACATGCTGTACGAGTAACTTTTGACCAATGATACTTGGTCTAAGTCTTGGGGCTGTTGTCAGAAAATATGTCTTGCCAGGTATTACAGACTGCTTTTGTAACATTACTGGCATACCACTATCTAAACTAGATTATAAGTATTCGTGTTCACCTTAGATATTCATGTTTTTATGGCTCGAGAGTTTATGAATCCTAGACCTTGGTTCATATTGAGCAGTATTACTGTACTCCATGACTGCCTTCACTCTTTTTCTTTCTTTTTTTCTGTTCCCTGGAGAAAAAACAAGAAGTCCCACCCCAGAGAAAGGGATGACTGACCGACTGAAACACAACGATTATAACCGTTACTTGTACATGCAGCTCCAGCATGTAGAGATGGAGCTGGAATTGCTGGGGCCTTACAAATTTCAGAAGCCTCAGAGTTACACCCAGGCTGTAAGGCAGGTCCAGCACATGAAAAGCCTGCTAGAAAGCCAGATCTGCTCTTCAGGCTCCATCAGTGAGAGGTAACAGTCACCAGTATAAGCAGTTTACATCTGGTTAGTAGTGACAAGAGGTCACAGTTATCTGATGCTTTCTTGATAATGTCATAACTGCTTGTGGTGGTACACAAGGAAATGTCAGTAGAACGTAGGGGACCTACTGGAGAAGCAGTGATAAATCATCGCTCTTGATCATTTCTTCATACATTTATGCTTTCAAAGCGAAATGGTACAATAAGGTAGCATGATAGTAAAACACACTGAGAACAAATTCTGTGCTCCAAAGTGCTCAAGGGTCTTTAAACCAATGAATGTATGGAAAGCTATTAGAAAACAAGAGACAGAAATAGGTCAGAACCACCTGATAACTTAAGTAGGGAATATTAGAAAATATAACAAGACTTTCTCTTTGGCTCTGAGCTCATCTGTACATGGGCACCCAAGTATACAAAGCCCAAGTGTTGATATGAGCCAACTGCTCAGCCTTCCTATTAGAAATCCTGTCATTCATGAGCATAAAAAGTAATAAAGCTATAAAATTAGCTTTTGAGTTTAGCTGGTCCATATCTCTATGCCAATGATCTGTGTTCTTACATATTCAAGAGGGATGTGGACAACATGGAGAGGGTCCAGAGGAGAGCCACTTGCATGATCACGGAGAGGCTACAGGACCTGAACCTATTCAGCCTCCACAAGAGAAGACTGGGGGGGGATCTAGTGGCCTGTTACAAACTAGTCAGAGGGGACCAGTAGGCACTGGGAGAGTCCCTGTTCCCCTGAGCACTACCAGGAGTGACTACAAATAACGGTCACAAGCTGGCAGAGGGTAAATTCAGATTAGACATCAGGAGGTGCTACTTCACTGTCAGGGTGGCTGGGATCTGGAACCAACTTCCAAGGGAGGTGGTTCAGGCTCCTGCCCTGGGGGTCTTTAAGACGAGGCTTGACAATCACCTTGCTGGGGTCGTTTGACCCCAGTACTCTTTCCTGCCATGGCAGGGGGTCAGACTTGATAATCTGCTCAGGTCTCTTCCAACCCTACCTACTATGAAGCTATATTTCACTATCCACATGTGAGTTGCTTTGTTCTATGTCTTAAAGTTAATAGTTTTTTGTTGTTTTTTTTAATCTGACTTTGCTGTCAGGTATCTCTTGCCCTTGCTAAATCAGGAACTAGCTGGTTTTGTGATCTGTTTTTTCCTCTCACTGCAGAAGTGACATTCTGCCTGTTGGTTGACTCTCTAGGTGTTCCCCTACTCCAAGTTTCTCTGGAGATGGCAAGAAAGTTTCCTCTTCCAAAGGGCTGCCATGGTGGTTTGTTTTCATAGGCTGGTTCCTTATAGCTGCCACCAGTGGAGTGTCTGGTTTCTTCACCATGCTCTATGGGCTGCATTACGGCAAGGAGAACTCAATCAAGTGGCTGATCTCCATGGCCATCTCCTTCTTTGAGAGCCTTTTCATCACCCAACCCTTAAAAGTAAGGTCACTATAAACACTAGCTAAGGAGTGGTTCATCCTGCGGTTCTTTCACGTGTCACTGGCATTGCTATGGGTGGGAGTTTTACATGCAGGGCTACAGAGCCAGGCTCTTGAATCACAAGATCCTTCCCTGAAGACAGGGTCTGAATTACAACCGAGTTCCAATGTTGTACTGCTTTACTGTCAGGAGTCAAGTTCCCTTATTCCACCCTAGTCCGCTTTGTCTTATTTTGATAGCCCCGAGCTAATGGAAGTTCTGGGTGGGGAAGGAAACAAGTCAAAGGGAAGGGCAAAGCAAGTAAGTTGGCAAGAGAAGCAGGAGGTCAGGACTTCATGAAGAATGAGCAGGCCCTGAATGCCTAACTATTGTCTCCCCAGGTGCTAGGATTTGCTGCTTTCTTTGCTCTGGTTCTGAAGAAGATGGAACAGGAAGATGAGGAGAACACGGCCATTGATGGATCACTGTCTGCTCCAGGTAACTGTGTCAGGTATCAAATGCAAGGGGAACTGATTGACGAATATGGAGTCAACTGGGACTTCGAAGTGCTTTATTCAGGGGCAGAGGCCTAACCCACAGGCCAGCACAGTACCTGGGCGGGGTAGACTATATATCATCTTTAAACCTATGCCTAAGGAGTCAGTGAGTTGTCAGCCAACTGGGAAGCAAGGGGGCAGAAACAGTTTTCCCTTTGGGCAGTGGGTACTGCACCAACAGTCTCAGGAAGGGTATTTGGCATGTTGGGTTTCGGTGCTGGAGTGGATGTCAGTCAGGCTTCCCTGTTTCTTTCTGAAGTACAGATCCTGCTGCCTGCATTGGCAACCCCACCCCTGCCATGGACAGGCCTTTCCCCAGTGTCCTGGCATCTGTTTTTATCTTTCTTTTCATCTGAGCTGTTCTTTCCCTTCACACTACCACAAGTGTTTAATCATTCATGATCCTTGCTATTGGTAGCCTGTCTGAGCTAACACCCCCTGTCCTGGTCCAGTCCTAGCTAGTGGGTAAGTTTCTGTTATTTTCCACTTCTGGATGCACAGCCTCTCTGCTAGGCTCAGTTATCCCTGCATGATTGTGGGTATCGCTGTGTGGGGGTGTCCAGGACCCGGTCGCAAGGTGGATTCCCCAGCGGGTGTAATGGTTTCATTAGCTACAGTGGCACTGCGGTAATCGACACATGCCAAGAATCTGCCCCGTGTGTCTTTATTATTTACTACCAAGGAGGAGTGCAGTGCGTGCGTGCGTGCTGGGGCTGTGGAGGGAGGGCGGAGAGCACAGGTACTGAAGGCATGTGCACAGTGGCAGTAATGGCCTGTGTGGCAATAGGTTGCTCCTGGTCCTGCCGGTAATGCTTCACTTGCTAGACTGACAGGGTGCTCTGACTCTCCCCACAACAGGGGAAGCCCCACAGGCCCCCCTGGGGGTGAGTTAGTTGATGGGGGCAGTTGTTGCTGAAATCTCTTTCCCCCCTCTCCTCCCACCTCTTTGTCCCTTCCTGTCATCTCTTTCTTTTCTGCCTGTTTTTTCTTAAGTCTTTTCCTCCTCCTCAGTTTTATTTATTTATTTGTTTGCTGACTTTTCTCCCTCCCCTGGATTGTAGCTTTGATTCCTCCCCCTCTCACTGGGAGGATTCATACTGACGGGGGTTGTAGGTCTCAGGGTCTGGGGCACCATTCGTCGTGGCAGGGCTGAGGGCTGTGGGAACTGGAAAGAAACAACTGGGCTGTCAGGCTGCAGCATCAGCCTGTAGTGCTGCATGCAGTTGCTCCCCTGCCCCTTGATATAATCTGTACCTCCCTCCCTCCCTCCCTGCCCCTGGTATGTCTGCTTCATTTCCCTCAGACAAGGGAAACACCGGCACAACTTGAAAAAGCTTTCTTGAACCCAGGGGGATCTCTCAGAAGTGAAAAGCGGGGCTGAGACGAGCTGCTGATGCTCTGGTTTCCTTTACTCTGGCACACAGGTGACTCAAATCCTCTGTTTGGAGCCCGAAGGGACAGCAGAAGCAACATCTACCATCCCCCTCCCATGACAGACATTGAGAAAATGAAGAGGAATCACATCAAGGAGCAGAAAGCCTTTGCCTTAATCAGAGAGATACTGGGTCTGCAATCTGCCTGCACAGGAGCTGCTTGCTTTTACTGACATAGCTCTTTCATGTATTTTTAAATCACTGCTAATATCGTCCCATTGGACCCCTAGGCTAGGAGCAGGGAGGCAGAGCTTCATCTTTACTCAGGCATTATAGCGGATAGACAGGCCATAAATGGTGTGATCGCTGAGCGTGGAGCTGACAGGAAAAAGGGAGATGAGGGAGCTAGCTGGAGACACAGGAGTCACCAAGCTGGGTTAGGAGCACGGGGAGAATGAGGCTTGCCTCAATTTTAAAGAAACAAACCACAATAGTGTGTGTGTGGAGGGGAGAGGGGGCGTACAAATTTACTTGTGGGAAGAGGGTGGAATCAAAAGAGCAGTTGGGGCTTCTTCCTCAAATCATCCATAGCTAATGCCCTTGGCTTAGTCTTGCTGCATCTGAAAGCATGGCAAGAATCTGCCCCAGTCCCATTTACAACCTGAGTAATTCCTGGTATCCAACCAGCTTGCCCATTCTTTTTTAATTTACACCAGATTCAAACTGGTGCCCAAATATGATGTGGGGAACACACAGCAGCCTGGATTTGCCTATGTAAAAGCATTTGCACTGAGCAGGTAACCCAGAGGGAGGAACCTTGCCAGGCATATTCTTAGCCTAACAGTGCTAATAGCAGTAACTGTTATATCTGCCTTTACTGGGCAGGAAGGAGGAGTTCTGACTTCCCTGTGTTGCTCTTTCCAGCTTACTTGGGATTTCTATGGATGCTGTTGTTGGTTGCCTATGGACAGAGGGATCCCAGTTCCTACTACTTGAACAAGCACATCGAGAACAGCTTTACAGATGGGTTTCGAGATGTCTACAGCTACCAGGACTTCTTCACATGGGCGAGAACTACCTTAGTCAACAATTTGTATGGTTCATATCAAGGTACAAAGATCTGATTTGATTGCACATTGTTTTGAGTTAGCATTCCTGGCTCTAATTTGCAAAGACTCCCTCCACAGATTTCCATGTATATTGAGCTGATGGGGTGCATAAGTTTGGGGTGACTTTAGATATCCCAGTCCTAGTGGTTTATATAAATTGATGTCATCCTTAGAGCAAGAATCACCCATAGCTTATGTCTTAGGTTCAGTCTTGCTCCTTTTGAAACCAGTGAAAGAATCTGCATTGACCTCAGTGGCTGACTAGTATCTAAATATATGAATGGGTATAATTGTAGCAATACATACCAAGCAGTAATACAACATGGGCTGAATTAATCTCTGATATTTCTCCACTGAAGACAGTGGACTGACCCCAGGTTAAATTTGGCGTGATATATTAACTACCTTCTTAAATGTAGTGCCCAAGTTCAGCAACTTATTTTAACACCAAATCATCGGTATCCAGTTCTGTACTAGGATATATCCCTGGTAGTTTTGACACAGGCACCATCTCTCCTAAAAACAGCGCAGGCTAGCCAGGTGGCACCAGGAGTTAGTGTTACTAACCAGCTCTGCCTCCAGGTGATCTGAGCTCACACCCTGGCCTAGAGATGGAAAGTGAGCTTTGCAGCATCCCCTTGTTCTTCCTCTGGGCATATGCCCAAAACAAATTTGGACAATTTTCCAGCATATGCTCAGGAATCTCTCTGGGATGTTGAAGCTCACAGTCAGAATTGTCCTACTGTGACCCGGTGGATGGAACACAGGAGTGGAACTCATAAGACCTGTAGTAAACATTTGGTGAATTGGTTATATTATTAACACCAATTCTTTGCTTTACTATACTTAGGGTTCATTACGGATGGCAACTCCAAGTTGGTGGGTAGTGCCCGGATCCGACAAGTTAGAGTGAAGGGGGACACCTGTCCCATTGCTCCCAAGCTGCAGCATTCAGTCCAAGAATGCCATGCTCCTTACTCTCTCCAGACAGAAGATACATCAGACTATGGAGAACGCTGGAACATCTCAGCCTTTGATAACTCCTCTGACTTCAGCTCTGCATGGCAGTATCAGAGCCAGTCCAAACTGAGAGGCCATCCCATCTGGGGCAAGCTTGCCATCTACAGGGGAGGTGGATATGTGGTTCACTTGGGCACCGACCTGAAGAATGCAACCAGGTAGCTCTTTTATTGTGCCTGAGTTTCAGCTTTATTCACATTTGCAATTATTATCTCCTTATTTTATATTACTATTAACCAGAATCCAGTCCAGCCTTATAACCTGATTTTGTAAAATGGAACTAAGTGCCCTCACCTGGATTCCAGAGTTACACAAGCAAGTGTGACAAAATCATAAAAATTAAAAGATGGGAAAGAACTTCCTCCCAGTCAGTGCAATGTTATTCCCTCTAGGGCACATTACAGTGTTTTGTCTAGTTTAGTTGTCAATGTCTAATGCAGTGGGTTTTCTGCCTCTTCCCTTGTCGTACTGTTCTCCAGTTTAAAAGGATGCAATGTTGGGAAATACCCTCCTCATTAAGAACTGTTTTGGTTAAGTCTAAGATTTAATTTCCTTCCTTAGTGTTTACACTCTTCAGATATTTGTAGGACAGTTGTTATATCACTTTCCAGCCATTGTTATAGATGGAAGAGGAGTGAAATGTCCACTATTGGCAGTCCTCAACTGTGTCTGTGAACAACAGAGACTGTTTCCAGGAGTGAAGTAACAGAAAAGGGAGGCTTTAAGAGACCCAAAATGTAGCAGATAAGAAACCTGACTATAAAAGAGTAGGACATTATGCCCTGCAATGACAGAACCCAGGCCAGCTCTGTGCCTATAGATACGTTATACATTGCTTGAGTTCTCTACATAGGACCTAGGTTTTGTTACGTGAGGCTGGATAAGCACTTCAGGCAGCATCTTGGCTTCCACAGGCAAATAGGCTTCAGAGGCCACAAAAAGCACCTCATTTTGCCCTCGCCAAATTGTATGGTGTAGTCTAGAGACTAGCACATATTCTTCCCTTTCTCAACCCCTGGAGCTATGAACCAAGCATCCCTTGAAAGTCCCCATCTCGTGTCTGTGTTTTCTGCACATGGCTTCCAAACGCTCCTACCATATTTGTAGTGCACACATCTCATCAGCATTAAAAGATATTTGTCCACTGACCACTCCTCCTTTTCTTGTGCTCTCTTTGACAGAGTTCTCCAGTACCTCTTCAGCAACATCTGGCTGGATACCTTTACGAGAGCAGTGTTTATTGAATTTACAGTCTACAATGCCAATGTGAACCTGTTCTGCATTATTAGCTTGATGTTTGAAACTAATGCTTTAGGTGAGAGCCCATTCTCAATCCCAGCACTTTTGGCTCCTGCCAGCAAAAGATGACAAGCAATGTGGGGTTTTCAAAAGAACCCAACAGTAGCTTAACACAGTTCCTTTTAAAGTTAATGGTAGGAGAGTTATAATGCTGAATGATTATAAATGCTTTGGGGAATAGGCCTGTATCTGCCTGTATAGCTATACAGCACACTGGCTTCCAAAGTAATACAAACAAAGCATGTTGTACTGGTTTTCTTCTAAAGAAGGTGCTTTGCTGAAATGTAATTGTTTTGAGCGTAACAAAGCAAGAATTAGGTTCTTCTTAATAGTAGCCCCTATGTACAGCTACTTAATTCAGTATTGAACAGAATGGGCATATGACAGAATTTATGTTTTGTACTTCGCAGTGCTGATTCTGGAAGATTAGTAGCACATGGCACGCAGTCCTCATAAATGAGAGTCAAAAAAGGCTCTAGTACACAACACAGCTAAGCAAAAAGTTGGGATCCTTGCTTGCATAAAATAGGGAAAAGTTTTCTTTGAATGGTGTCCGACATCATTTCAATCCCATTACTATAGCCTGGTGAAAGTGGGCTAGACCAGAAACTCATAACTGATTTCAGGATGAGATTCTGAAATGAATCCCCCAGTCTTCTTCTGCTCTAAGGCTAAGTATAGACAGTCAAAAAGCCCGAGGCTGAACTGATTCAGTCTTCACAGTTTAGTCTAAACTGCATAGATTGACCCAGTAAGCAAGTGAACAAACGTTTTATTTTTTATTATGGAAATGCAGCCACCTGCCTGCACTAGCTCAGGCTAGAAGCCAGGGGGTGCTAAGGCACACCTCCCTGCTGGGCTGGAGCAGACAGCTTGGGCCAAGGCTAGACTGCCCACCCTGTAAGGGGGGGATGGGAAGGGTTTGCCAGGAGGTACAAAGCATCCTGGGATTCTTGGGGACTATGAGTTAACTTGAATCTGGAGGAGATCTGGGACCAAAATTCAATAAACTGATTTAACCTAAATCCATTAAATCTGATGCTACAGCCATTCAGGTTTGTCTTAAATTGGTTTCAGCCATTTTGAAAGCAGTTTATTTACCCTGAACATCTGTTGTGTTACAGGTCTGAACTGGTTTCTGATCATTTATCCTGGTTTATGTGTACCTTCTGTCCCTAGCCTAGGAGTTTGAATTTTAGTTCAGTTTAGACATGGATCTGCTGAAATTATACTATCCAAGATGGTGATAATCTCAGTATAGGAGCTGACTGTGAAAGATTCCTGCCCTTCAGAGGATCATCCCAATCAAATCCAAACCTAGTCTGGATTTAGCTTTATACCAAACGTAATTGTGGTCTGGGTATGAACATTTTGTCCCATCCCTGAATACTCTCACATACAATACTGGAAAAGTCAGTTTCTGATGAGAAGCAGAAAAGAAATGCTCCAAAGAGCATGAGACTGAACATGGCTTTGTTTTCCAGGGGCATTCTTCACACATGCAGAACTGCAAAGCATCCGGCTGTATCCATACACAGATGGCCTACACATATTTGTTGTTGCAGCAGAAGTTATTTATTTCCTATTTGTTGTCTACTACATGGTAATACAGGTAAGACCCAGCAAGTCTCTTGTGCCCCAATTCTGATTTCACTACAAAGGTTTTAAGCCAGTGCAAGTCAAGCGACTTCAGATGTGTTGCTCCTGACTCATGTCAGTATGAGGGTTAAATCAGAGGTTCTCTCTTTATTAAAAGACTGGAGAACCTGCTGTGAAGAAGGTAACTACAAAATAGTTGCCTCTTGCAGAGAAGCAATTCTCAATCCCAAATGAGGGGTGTACTCTATACGGCTTCAGGAGAAGTGGGTAAGATAAGGCAACACACCCTTTCAGAAAGGAAGGGAATAGTCTTTATTGAAAGAATGGTGCAGTGGTACATTTATTTGCCCTGATCACTTTACATGGTCACACGCTGATTCTTGCCAAAGGCTGCTACAACTAAAACTTCTTCTTTCACAGGGAAAGCTCATGAGGGCTCTGAAATGGAGGTATTTCCACAGCAAGTGGAACCTGCTAGAGCTGGCCATTATATTGATTAGCTGGAGCACTCTATCAGTGTTTGTGAACCGGACAATCCTGGGGGCACGAGACATCAGTTACTATCAAAAGCACAAGGATGAGTAAATGTTTCATGACCCTGACTTACTTTGCTTTAGCCAGTTTATCTTTTTTCCCCTTCAGTGCCACCACTGCCAAAGAGAGGCACTCCTCAGAGGTAGCAGCATTTTAGCTTGTGAATTGAGTAAGGATTTGGGCACATGTCAGCAATTAAATCTACCCATCTCCTCCAAACCAGGCGGCTTGCTGGTGCACGTGCTATCTGCATCTCACTGCAGAGTAAATGCTTCTTTTACAGATGACAGCTGTTTCAGAGTCCATGGCAATACTATATAGTGCTCTTTCTAGATGAGAAAGAGACAAGGAGCACATATGAATCTAAGCAGAATGGAAAATGATCTTGTATTCCTACACACATTTTAAGCACATTTTTGGCAGGCTCTGTCACATACCAAAGCAATAAGTGTAAATAAAATACTACCCTATGAAGGGCCAAAAACAAAGTAGCAAAACTGAGGTATGTGTGACCTATTTCATGTCAGCTAGGAATAAACTTAAGCCCTTTCTACCACAGCACCCAGCCTAGGAATTGCTCCCTTTCTTATCACTGACTTAGCACCCAGCTCCCCTGCAGCATGTTCTTCTTATGGAATCTGCAGGGAATTAGTGAATTTTGCACAGCTGGCCTGGCTCTAATTCCCTACACACATGACAGGGAAATATGCTCTGGCCCAGCAGCCGGAGTAAAATGGATAACCCTTTCCTTGCTAGTGTACTCTGTTACAATATCCAGTAGAAAGCTCCAAGCATTAGTATATTAGGGGCCCAGTCTCTTAGGGTTTGCAGAGGAAGAATTGGCTGTCTGAGTATTAGCAACATGTGGGCTTCAGTCTGCATTCTGTCAGGCAACCCAGTTTGTGGGGAAAGCACCATTCACTCAAGTGAGAGAGAGAGGAGATAAGGACAACACTCAAGTGAGAGTCCATGCTGACCCAGCAGCAAAGCCCTGCTTGCATTTGTAGTGACCAGTTTGCAGAGAGCTGCTCTGGAGGATTTTCACATACTGTTTTTGAATCTTCTTTTCTCATAGGTGTGTAAGCTTCAATGAAACTGCCACAGCTGATGCAGTGCTTGGCTACCTGATTGCTTTTCTAGTACTTCTGTCTACAGTGAAATTGTGGCATCTCCTGAGGCTCAACCCTAAACTCAACATGATCACTTCTACCCTGAAGAGGGCATGGGGTGACATCTCTGGATTCATCATAGTTATTGCAATCATGTTCCTGGCTTACTCTATCGCTGTGAGTAGTTTTGTGGTTTCTGATGTTTTGGGTCTGCAGTCACCTGCTTGCAGATCAAATGAATAATTACTGAATCATGTGAGCAATGCAGCTTTGAAAGGTGAAATGGAATGCAGCTGTCTTCTTAAATCTTGGCTAAGCAGCTTGACAGCTTCAAAATGTTGCTGGAAGTCCCATTTTCCATCAGAGGATTGGCAAGTATAATTCTGGGCTTGTCTGCTCTCTGCAAATTGAAATGAAGCTTCACAAACAAAGCATGTGATAAAAGATGCAGATTTTTTTCTGCAAGATGCCAGTGTGCCAGAGAGCAAAGGGCAGGAAAATGCTTAGTGGGCAATGATCTAACATACTAATCAAACAGGGACAGTGGCTGACAGTTCCAGGAAGGCCATTGCCTGGAACAGGTGAAATAACTGAATGGAAAATGTTGGGGGCGGGGAGGGGGAGGTTCTGTCTATCACTGAATTCTCCTTCCCTGTGCCAGTCATGTAGGCATGGAAATACACTTGGTTATTCAGTCAGATTAGTGTAACTAATTGGTGTACTTATTGCTGTGGCTGAAACTCTATGCACATGTTTTCAGGTAGAGGAGAGCAGGCTGTTGCACATGTCTGCTCTCAGTTGCTGTCCTAGTGAAAAGGTTCTGCTATTAGTATTTCCCCTAAAGAAGAGATGATTCTGATCTTGGACAATAGGGTGATCTCCTGATTAAAGAGATGGGGATTTGGGAGAAGATTTCCTGTGCGGTCATTGACAAGTCAGTTATTCTCTGTAGCTCACTCCCCCCTCTAAAGAATGGAGATAATAACACTTCCTCTTCTTGTCTCTTCTAGATAGTCCCTGATTAGAGAGTTGGCAATCTTTTAAGTGTTTGTACAGAGCCTAGCACAACTGACCCTGATGGAATCTGGGTGCTACTGCAATATAAAAAATAATCTTTTAACACTGCAGCTTGTTACATCATTGCATCCTGATTATAGTGCAATAGCATGTAAAATTCACTTGGTGCTGTACAGACGCAGAAGAAAACATAGTCCCTGCCTCTAAGAGCTTGCAATCACTGTTCAATAGTGTGTATGAATTGCTTACATACTCTGGGGATTAGCAACATGGAGAAGTGTACAAATAAACAAACAGAAGAGCAATCAACATTCATTATCTTTCACTTCTTCTGTAGCATTGCCATGCACCGTTAAATACGCCAGAGGCAGCTGCATTTCAACGGCCAGTAAAGCAGCTCATGTACTGAGTTTACAGAATAGTTGAGAAGCACTGTCCCTGTGATATTAAGTAGCACTTACTGGTGCATCTACATGAGATGCTTAGTGCACAGAAGACTAATTCTACTGCACAGCGGGTACAGCCCATGCTAATGTGCTGATGTGCAGTAGATTTAGTCTAATGTGCAGTAGCATCACAAAAAACCATTAATTTACGCTAAATACACAGTAGCGCCAATTATGGTACATTAAGTTTAGTACCGGTAATCAGAGACAACCTGAGCAGGGTGCGGGTCCAGAGGCATATCAGCCTGTATGGGGCCCTGCCCCTGGGTGCGAGGAAGCTGGTGGCAGATTCAGCAGTGGGGGGGCGAATGGTGAGCAGCCAGACATGAAGCCAGCGGCAGTGCGGAGTCACCATACCACTCTGCCCGACTCCATGGGGCCCCCCAAAGTGCAGGGTCTGGGGCGCTTGACCCAATTCGCCCCCCGCAGGGATGGCCCTGCCTGTAATGACCTGTACTAAACTTAATGCGCCATAATTACAGTGTATTAATGTGTAGACAAACCCACTGAGTCCACAAATAACAGCTAAAATTATTTGGAACTGCAAGTGTGTAGATTATCACAAAAAATCAGGTTCTTATTTAGGCCATCTACTGCTTGCTTCTATGCTATTGAACCAAGCACAAAAACCTCTTTACTTTGTTCTCTTTGCTTCTACACAAAGAACTCCTATTATCATCCCTGAGAGAGGCAGGAATTGAATATGAAGATAATTTGTTATGTAGGCTGATCGACGGGCAATATATACCAGGACCCAAGCAGCAGTTAGGATGGAGATGTAACCGACAGGCCAGAGGTTCTTGCCTGGGCCATGTAACTTTAATATTAGACGAAGAGAGCTTTCTCTGACTATATGCACTATTAACTTAAGTTAGCAATAAAACCTCACGATAAGAATAAAGGTCTGTCTTCTTTCCCCTACAGACTAATCTGATATTTGGTTGGAAGCTGCACTCTTACAAAACCCTCTTCGATTCGGCAGAGACAATGGTCAGCCTTCAGCTGGGAATCTTCAACTATGAGGAGGTATCCTCTCTGACTGTCAGAGCCTTATTATTTGTGCTATTGAGCATCTCAAGTTCTTAGTCATGGAACAAGACCTCACTGTGCTGAGTATTCTCCAAATGCAAAAAGAGGTGGTTCTAGCCCTAGGGAGTTTACAGCTGAAGTTGCTAGTAATTTCAGACAGAATCAGTGAAAAACCGAGTTGTTCTGTACTTAAGACCCAAGCTCAGTCCCACTTTTCTCCACTGAACTGAATGGGAGATGGAAGGCCATAAAAAGCAGCCTTTTGCTTTTGGTCAAAATGAACTATTTTAGATACAGAAAATGAGATGAGAGGAAAAAAAAAAAGAAGAGGTTCCAAGAGATAAAGCAGAAAGGTCAGAATTCTACAGTCAGCACCCAGGTTTATTAATTATTTCTGTCCTCACTGTTTGACTGATCCTTGCTCTATGGATATTACAGATGATTTCACCATGACTTAAGAAGGGGGGAAACAAGATGACAGTGAAGATTTGAGGCGGGAAGGCAGGGATGTATCAGTAAGAATACAGCTATTCAGTAAAATGTTGCGCAATCTGATAGACTCAACAGGGCAGGACTTGGGATTTTTTTAGTGAATAAATGGATGCCATATTTAGCTAACTTCCTGTAGAAACTGCAGCAGCAGTGTTGTTCTTATGAACAAGCGATCCCTTAATTTGCCCAAGAAGGAGGCATCAGCTCTTAACTGCAGAAATGTAGAAACCTAGCAGGCTACTACTGAATTACAATCTGATTAGTTAAGACAGTACTTACTTAATGTTAATGAAACATTTAATATTCATACTATAAAAGGAGAAATGCTTAGAGTTCTCAGTCTGAAAACAGGGAGACTATCAACCACTATTAGATGAGTCTGGCATTAAAGGCTCTTCTGCCTACTTTATATATGGAAGCCAATCTCATCGAGACACAAAAAACAAACCTCATATATACCTCATTCCACACTGAATTCCTCCTACACCTTTCTTTGGAAAATGCACTCAGGTTTTAAATAGCTATCTTGTCTGGTAGCCAATGCAAAATTATTGAAAGATTTGTTTAAAGAACAGCAGAGGTAGTTGTTACTCTCCTACATGCACCCTCATGAAAAAAACCTGACCAGCTTCTTGGGGAAGTTCTACAAAGCGATCTTCTGCCCTTCACAAAAAGGAGCAAATATAATGTTTAGTCTCTTAATAATGTTTTCGAACCCTTTGACCTCTCAAGAAATTTTTTCAAGTATTAAAATATTCTTTAGGCAGTTATTTTGTGGATTAAATGAATTCTTCTTAGTATTCTTTGATTGTTTTATAGGTTTCTCTTCATTTAATAATTAAGATGACTCCATAGTCATATTACAGGTTTAAAGACTGCTGTGTAATGCCAGTGCCCATAATCCTGCAGCTCTGACACTGTTATCTTGTGCCTGTCTTACACAAGTCAGATATACTGTCCCTGAATTAAACATTTGTCAATCAATGAACACTTAGAATTCAAAACTGCAAAATGGATCCTGCCACGCATTGTGTTTGCTACTGTGAGAAATCTAACTAAAGTATCGGGAGCATGAATCCCATTAGTAAACATGGCAAAGCTTTTCCTGCTTGCGCTGTTTTCTTCTACAAATAAATAGATTATTCGGTGTCTAAATCTGTCAAGGCAACACCTTGATAGCTAAACTCACACACAAACATTAAAAATATAGAGTATTGCCTACAAAGTGTTTGAATATATCACATATTTGAAAAAATGCTCTATCCACCCTAAACTGCAGTCAAGCAAGGTATGAAAATCATTTAGGAGAAAGGAAACATGTTGTGTACTATACAGGCAGGCTATAGTTTCAGTGTATTAGATTGTTCTAAAGTGTAACTTTTTTCTGCTTTAATAAAAAAAAAATTAATGCCTTGTTCCATTTATTTTCTAGGTCTTGGACTATAATCCAGTTCTGGGTTCCTTCTTAATTGGATCCTGCATTATTTTTATGACATTTGTGGTGCTGAACCTGTTCATTTCAGTTATATTGGTTGCTTTTAGCGAAGAACAGAAATATTATCAGGTGTGTTCATCTAAATTGTTTTATTATTCATTAATGTTTATATTATGGAAGCATTTGAAGACCCCAGTCAGGATTGGGCTGTCCCATTGTGCTAGGTGGCGCATAAACACACAGTCCTGTTAAGATCATTGCCTGTTCCAGTTACGAACATTTTGGGTTTTGCTAAAGCTCACTGCTCATTTCTGTTCACAGGAGTGTTTGTATTAAAACCAGCCCCTCAGCCTAATGATCAAGAATATATACACTCTCAGACAATGTACATACACAAAACAGAAAGCATCTAGATATCTAGGTTTTTTGCACAAATCTTATTTGTATTTATCATTTCTATAACATGTACACTCTAGATCCATTTAGTTTGGAATCTTAGCTCTATTTCAATCAATGGCAGAGTCCTGCTGACTTCAGTGGGGTCAGGATTTGACTTTTTAAAATCTGGCTTGTAGCTTCTTTGAAAATTATAGCTGTAGGTATCTGATCACGTGCAGTATAATTTGTATCCAAAAATATGGAGCTGTAGGTACTGAGTTAGAAAATCCCCTTTGATATTGCAGTATTGTGTGTAGAGCCCTTAATAAGCATTGTTGATGCAGGGGCATGTATGTGACCTCCCCTGACTTGACTAGAAATTATGAAACATGCACAGCACACCTGCACTAATTGTTTAGATTCCACAGGTAAAATCTTGGCCGAGTTGAAATCAGTTGCTGCTGGCTTTAATAGGCAGGATTTTACCCAGTTTATTTGGTGATTTAATAATGCATCTATAACTACTGCATCCTGAATTTTTATTTTTATGTCATTATTTTTAGGCATCCGAAGAGGAAGAGATTGTTGATCTAATGCTGATGAAACTTTTCAGTTTCCTTGGGATTAAGTGCAAAAAAGAGCAGACAACCGATAGTGAGGAACTGAAAGAACTTGCCAGCACCTGACAAAGTTACTGAGCAATTGCTATATGCAAAACCTCTTCCTTTTCATTTTAACCAATAGTTGCTGCAGTTGGACTTAGATATTGTGGCTCCTACATGTATTATCCTTTTGAAGAGCTGTGGCACAAACAGAAGTACAAGTACATTTTGTGGTGTTTGATATTGTTACATGATAGTACCAGAGAACTAACAGTAAATTTAGAATAATGTGTCCAATAGTGCACACTTCCTTGTTTTCTGTAAATCTACCACTATATACTTAATAAATGCTAAGCATTTATTGCAAATTTTGGCTAACACCACCGGTTTGTCAATTGTGAAGCCAGCAGGAGATTTATCCAGGCTGGGATTAAAAAGTTTTTGAAGGAACATATGTTTAAACCCACCATACCTAAACTCCTGATACATTTTAAACTTAAGTTACTGACAGAGTACTAAGTTTGTTTCCCAAGAGCCACTACAGTTTGAGACCAAGCTAAGTCTTTGTTTTTCTAGGGAAGCCAGGCACCAACATTATTTAATGGTCTGACAATCACTAAACTAGGGGTAGGCAACCCCTAGCACAGGTGCCAGTGTGGCCCACGAAGACATTTTGCTTGGCGTGTGCACCTCAGGGTGGATGGCAGAGAAGGGGCTGCAGCTGTCCTGCCACAACAAGGATTGGGCCCCTCGCAGCTCCCCTGCCTTCTGCCCCTGGCATGCCAACATCTCATAACTCAGAGTTACGGATGTTTTCAGCACTCTGCCCAGAAACGTTGCTGACCCCTGCCTTAGACACTAGGTCCACGCTGGGTCACTGTCTTCCTTGAGTAGCACTATTCCCCCACAATTGAATGTGCACAGGAAGAATTACCCCAAGATAATGCAGCCTTCAGTTCTTCTCGAGCAAGAGTTGTTTAGTTGCTGGTAAATCCAACAGAATCAAAGCACCCCTCCCATTTCTGATGTTACAGATAACTACTAACAGCCAAAATCCCAGATTTTGGCAGGCATAATCTAGTTCAGTGGTTCTCAACCTTTGGCCTACTGGGGCTCATTTGCAAGCTAGAAACTGCAGAAGTGCAGAAGGGGGAATAACAGGAGAGGTAGACTACGACGGCTGCAACTTAAGCACACATCTCAAGCGCCAAGCAAGACACAAAGGCCACATCCTCAGAAAGACGGCTGGCCTGTGTCACCTGCTCATCAATTGCCCCCATCTAGTCAAAAGTGGGGTGGCTGACTTCTAGAGGCAAGTTCCTGAGAGCTTCCTGAATCGCCCTCCTGAATTATTCATGTATTTTTCCACACGTGGGAACTAAGTAACCGCCCTCTGACTTCTCCACCCAACAGCCATGGGGTGTGTGGGCAAATCCCCAGGCTCTTGAGGCCGGTGAAAATACAGCTTTTGGAAAGAAACGTAAACTACGTGAGGCGGCACCTCGCACAGCCAACCTGGCGGCTTCCTGCTTCCTTCTTCACTGTTGTGCACATAAAATTTAGAGGCTGCTTGGAAAGGAAGAACGGGGTAAATGCCACAGGCAAGTCCACAGCCCCCAAATTCACAGCACTGGGGCTGGGGTTATACAGCGACTCCTTGCACGCAAGGTACAGGCCTGAGGGAACGGAGCTCCTTGCCCTCGCTGCCTCCTGCGCGCCCCTCGCCAGAGCGCTTGGTGGCTGCCCCGAAGTGCCTGGTTGGGTCCCAGGCTCCCTCCCATATATAAAGCAAGCAGGAGAGCTTTTAGTGCCAGACTCATCTCATTGTGGTTGATAGTTTCCCTGTTTGCAGACTGCGAAATCTAAGCATCTCTCCTTTTATAGTATTGATATTAAATGTTTCATTAACACTAAGTAAGTACTATCTTAACTAATTGGATTTGAATCCAGTAGTATTTCTTCCTGCCCCTCAATGATCTCCTGAGGTCCCTTCCAGCCCCAACGTCTATGAAGTAGCCTGCTCGGCATCTACACTTCTGCAGCTATGGCCTGATGCCTCCTTCCCGAGGCAAATTACGTGATCTTTTGTAGGATTGGGCGGTTGGTAGGGGGAGGGGCAGAGGGAGGGGAGGTTGTGCGCATGCGCAGAGCGCGGCGCTCCTCCCTCCTGTCCTGTTCCCGGCGGCCGCCCCTCGCCCCGCCCCCTGACGCAGGCGCCGCCCCTTCCGGCTCCGAGGCGCGAGCCCAGGCCCCGCCCCCGCCCCGGCAAAGATGGCGCTGCGAGCGGTGCGAGTGCTGGGCACCAACTGGGCTCCTCTGCCCGCGCTCCCGGCCCTGCGCCGACCCCGCGCCGCCCCGCTCCCGCCCCCAATCCGGGTCCGGGGCCTGGGCACCAGTGCGCTGCTGCTGGCCGGTGAGTGGAAGGAGCCGGGCGCCCTGGCGGGGCGGTTTGCGGCCCTGTACACACTGGTGCCCTTCTCGCCTCCTGCAACGAGCAGGGTGCAGGTGCCCCTCGGGGTTTCTATCCCTGCGATGCTGGAGTGGCCTGATTCGGGTTGAAACCATAGAGAGTTGGGGGCGAAAACCTTCCTGGGCTCTTCAGGGTGAAAAAAAGGGAGAGAAAGAGCTTCCCCCCTCCCCGCCCACCTTTGTGTCATACTAAAAATATTTCTGGGAAAAATGGCAAGACCGGTGATGTTTCTAATCTGAAGCAGGTTCTTTATTCCCAGGTGTTGGCTGGGAGGATCCAGATCAGTGGTTCTCAACCTTGGTCCCATTTGCAAAGATCAGTTCGGCTTGTCCCAAGCCACAGCCTCCGTGCCCAGCTGCCTTCCCTTCTCTTCCCCCTTGCTGATAAACATCTGCCCTCCTCCACACAGGTGCACACCCCAGTAGTCCCCTCCACCCCCTGCTCCCCAACACTGACCTTCATCTGACTGCCTGACCCTGCCTGGCTGTGTGCTGGCCGTGTCCTGCCAGCCTGTAAGGAGCAACCCACACTCACGTGCGTTTTTCTGGAACTTGCTCATGACCCTTTGAAATGCTCTTGCGACCAGTTTTGTCCACGGGTTGGGAAACACCGATCTAAATAATGTAGTTGGGGATGGTCCTGCTTTGAGCAAGGGGTTGGACTGGACTTCCCGAGGTTGCTTCCAACCCAAATTTTCTGCGGATCTATGATCCAGTACTTGCTAAAACGTAGTGGGAGTTTGAGAATGA